AAGGAAGGATGCGCATGATCTCACACACAGTCACTTCCAGGAGTATCCCATGGCTCTCTTTATCCCCCTCCTTGTCTTCTGTTGGGGCTCAGAGGGTAGTAGCCTGTTGACATGACAGAGATGGCGGGGTGGAATTTGTGCCCAAGCAATGGGCATCCCGGCTTCCATATTGCTTGGGTGGGGGGGTCTTCTCTTTCTTTCAGCAACAGAGAAGCCAAGTGAATTGCTTAACGCATTGTAAGCCGCCCTGAGTCTCCGGAGAAGGGCGGCATATAAATCAAATTTTTTAAAAAAAATTGCCTGAGGAGAGACTGGTCAGTCTCTTTGACTGCCCTGGCTATCTGTGTGGGAAGCAGGGAGGGCTGAAAGGAGGAATCGGGAGGGGCCAGGCTCTCTTCCCCTTTCTATGAGAAACCCAGAGAGAGGTGCATATTCCAGGCTGCCCAATCAGCGCACTCTGGCTCAGACCTTCCCAGCTGGTTATATCCGGATGTGGACCCGACTCTTTCTTGTTCAGTGCCAGACGTTTCCAATCCTGGGCTCTGTTCTTTCTGAAGAAGAGCCGTGAACTTTCAAATGATAAATTGGCTTGGCCATGAAAATAGGCTATACTCTCCTCCTTTTCCTAGGTTCAAAAGCTGCAAAGATTCAGTGTGGTCTGTTTGGCAAGGGAGCAGCCTACTCCCGCCATAACGCCGAGCGACTTTTTAGGAGGCTGGTACTGGACAAGATTCTGGATGAAGACTTGTACATCACTGCCAACGATCAAGCGATAGCGTATATCCAGCTGGGGGAAAAAGCTGGTGCTGTGCTGAACGGCTGTTTGCAGGTGTGTGACTGCAGACTCAGCTGCCCCTCAGCATGGGCTGGAGCTGCTCCGGAATGGTTCAGAAAAACAGAATAGTGACGGGGGCTGCTGCAAAGGGGCTTTCCTGCTGTCAGCCATCAGTTGTTCTGGACTGTCCCCTCTTCTTTCTTCTCTTGTAAACAACATTTCAGAAGTGTTCTTATTTTTATTGTATACCAACTTGCATCTTCATGCCCTCCAGGTGGAGTTCTGTGAAACAGAAAGTGCCAGCAATATCCGGAAGCAGAGGGCTTTGGAGACCAAGATGTCCCTACGGGAAGAGATGGTTAAGAAGTGTCTCTCTGAACTCACAGATGTCTGTAAAAACCTTGGGAAAGTGTTTAATATCCACTATTTTAATATTTTTAACACTGCCACATTAAAAAGAATAGCAGGTAATATATATATATATATATATGTATATCTTCATGGAAAAAATGTGTATGATATATTTGAGGATAAATCCTATGTGTTGCAATAAAAATAACAAGCGTTTTATCATAACTATCATGTCACTGGCATGCCAAATGTACAATTTCCAACACTTCAATGCAATGCTCAGGTTATGTATGATAAATGCAACGCTTGTTCAAATAGCAATCCTTGCCATTTTATAGAATAGAATACTTTATTGGACAAGTGTGATTGGACACACAAGGAATTTGTCTTGGTGCATACGCTCTCAGTGTACATAAAAGAAAAGATACGTTCATCAAGAATCATAAGGTACAAGGTTACAGTCATAAGTGGAAGGAGATGGTGGGATACGATGAGAAGATTAATAGTAATGCAGACTTAGTGAATAGTTTAACAGTGTTGAGGGAATTATTTGTTTAGCAGAGTGATGGCGTTCAGGAAAAAACTGTTCTTGTGTCTAGTTGTTCTGGTGTGCAGTCCTCTATAGCGTCGTTTTGAGGGTAGGAGTTGAAACAGTTTATGTCCAGGATGCGAGGGGTCTGTATTTATTTATTTATTTGTTTGTTTATTTATTTATTGGTTCGATTTATATGCCGCCCTTCTCCGGAGACTCAGGGCGGCTTACAATGCGTTAAGCAATAGCCTTCAAACTTTTGTATATACCTGCTTAGTAGGGCTTTCGGCCCCCCCAAGCGATGTTCTTTTTTATAGAAAGTCAGCTTATTGCCCCCACAATCCGGGTCCTCATTTTACCTACCTCGAAAGGATGGAAGGCTGAGTCAACCCTGAGCCTGGTGAGATTTGAACTTGCAGTAATTACAGGCAGCCGGTGCTACTTTAACAGCACTTTAGTCTGCTGTGCCACCAAGGCTCTATAGATATTTTCACAGCCCTCTTTTTGACTTGTGCAGTATACAGGTCCTCAATGGAAGGCAGGTTGGTAGCCATTGTTTTTTCTGCAGTTCTAATTATCCTCTGAAGTCTGTGTCTGTCTTGTTGGGTTGCAGAACCAAACCAGACAGTTATAGAGGTGCTGTTGACAGACTCAGTAATTCCTCTGTAGAACTGTATCAGCAGCTCCTTGGGCAGTTTTATCTTCCTTTATTTGCCATCTCATCCACCTGTTTTCTCACTTGCTTTCTCTGCATAAGCTTGAATTAGGTAAGAAAAGGCCATGCTACCTGACAACATTTAAAAAATCTGTTACTTGGTAGGATGCTGTAAGTGTTGTAAAATTTGTCTGTCTTCAGATTTTCCAGCTTTCAAAAGTGCCCTGTTTCTATAGCCCTGGCTCCATTTCATGCAGATTTCTTCGTGTCTGTCTGATGACCTTCAGGCAATATCAGGCTCATAATGCTCTCCATGAAAAATCAGTCAATGTCACTGAGTCCTGACAGGGTGTTGGAAAGTCAAATAACATCCCTGAAGGCAGAGATGGCAAGGTTTTTTTGTATTGTAGTGGGGGAATAAGGATCTTCCATGATGTCAACAGGTGGCCAACATGTAGCAGCTCTTGGCTGATCTCAAAAAAGCTAAGCAGGATTGGTTGGTTGGTTAGACTTGGAATCGAGACTACCGTGCTGTAGCCTAAATTGGGAAGTTTAAAAAAAATTCTTGGAAGACAGGAATGACAAGCCAGTTTTGTATTGCGGATACCAAGAAAGCTGTATTGAGATTTTTTTTTCCAGAGACTTTGTCTTCAGATCCAGCAGTTTTGCTTCAGATTGATGGTGTCACAGAGGACAAATTAGAGAAGTATGGAGCAGAAATAATAGACGTGATGCAGAAGTATTGTACAAAGTTACTACCAGGTATTTAAATCACTTAATTTACTTAATGCATAGGCTGGCCACACTGCAACTGAATCTTACTAAAATGTTAACTTCTGTCCTGTTGACTCTTTTCCTTATCGCTGACACAGCTCAGTTGTTTAGATCTAGACAAGGTTCTCAGGCAGTCTTTGGGGGCAGTCATGCCAATGGGACCCCTAAGGCAGAAATGCTGTCCGAACTAAGAAAAAGGAAGTTGGGTTTTTCTCCACAGCAGAAAAGAAGCCTCTCGCAGCCACAGAGACTGATGTTAGCAGATGTGACAGTGAAGGTGAGGAGGGAGAAGCAACGTATACGACGTCCAGCTATTTCCAAACCAAAAATGGCAAGGGAAGGAAGAGGAAGAAGTCTCATTTTTTTAGAGAATCGAAGAAAAAAAAAGGATCTGGGGGACAGCAGGCTTATTCTAAGAGGTATGTTTTCCGATTGTTCATAAAGGTTGAATAAAACTGTGACATAGTGCTAATGAAGCATCTTTTAACTATTTCATCATGAAAAGTTCCTTGGAGATATTCACTGGTAGGCCTGCGGGTTGAATTCCGACATTGACAATAGCTTTGGAATTCTTTAACATGACCAGTGACTGGCTGTGCCTCTCCTTCCCCACCTCCCCACCCCCATTGTAACAGCCACACAAATATAAATACCACCTGAGCACTGAGGTTTCAGAAAAGGTGATGAGAAGGAAACTCTTCACTTTTCATACTCCTAAAAGAAGTCTCTGCTGGTGTCACTATGTTTCCTTTCTCCATGTGCAAATGACCTTTTAAACTGTGTGGCAGAAGCCCATGTGATTTTTTTGAAACAAAAGCTATAGCCCGTTTGTTCTTCTCTCTTCCTAGGAGTTACAAAGCCTGCAAAAGCGCATCCTCCAATTCTAGAAGTTCTACTTCCTGTGTTTTTCCTGGCCAACCAGGAGCTGGCAAGAGGCCTGGAATCATGGCACCGCCAAAGCCCCAAAGCAGACAATACCTTAAACCTTCTTACATGCTATTGTGATGCCCTTAAAAGTTATTTTCATTTTTATAGATGTTATTCAGCATAAATGTATTAAATTTTTCAATGACTTTTATATTAAGTACTCGTATTTCATAACTTGCTCGTACATAAGTAAAGCATTTAAATTAAGTCACTTCTTGTGAGCTGCTGCATAAGAAAGCTTTTGAGTTGTGGATATGAATCCCCTAAATATGAGATGCATGTCCAGGAGGCGGGAGACATTTAGCTAGTGGAGATTAAAAGGTTTGTATCCAAGTTAAGTTGTATGGGCAGCGATCAGCAGCAGCCCTTTGAGCAAGGGAGCTTGGCAAGAGATGGGGGGAGGGGGGGCTCTCCAGGACCAGAACAGGATGAGGGGGGTCAGGAAAGGGTCTCGTCCAGTGGAAGGAGCGGGGGGGGGGGGGGGGAGGCTGCCAACAGCCTTGGCGGGGGGGGGGGGGGGCCTTCCACGCTGCAGCCCTGCTCCTCTTCCACCTTTCCAGGAAAGAGCCGGGGGAGGGGGGGGGGCGGGGGGGGGGGAGGGGGGGGAACGGGGGTCCCAGGGTTGCCTAGGAAACTCAGGTGGCCTGTGGGGGGGTCAGGGATGGGTGGCCCAATTGAGGGCAGAAGCGTTTTTGCAAGGTGTCTTTTGCCCCCACCCCCACCCCCCAATCCCAGGCGCTTCAGGCGAAGCAAAAGGCCTTTATTAAGGCGGGGGGGAGTCTATCCGAGGGACAGAAGCGAACGGCCCCTCCGCTCGCTAAGGGGGAGGCCTCGTAAACAAGCGGCCTTGACCGGCGGTGAAAACTGAATAGGCCGCGGGATTTCCCCCCTTCCCCCCCATGCAATCGCGAGGGAGGCGCAGCCCCCAGCAGCCCCAGCCGGGCGGGGCCTCTGCGCGTGCGCGCGCCTGCCGCTGTGGCGGGAAGCCGGCTGGGCGGCGGGGGAGCCATGGCGGGATCCGCTGGAGCCTCCTCGGGCCTCCGGGCGGCCGGAGCGGAGGAGGGAGAGGCGCCCGAAGGCCGGCTTCCCTCCCGGCGGGGCGGCGAGGGGGCGCAGCTGTCGGCCTACGAGAGGAAGCGGCTGAGGAACATCTCGGAGAACGCCCGCTTCTTCGCCTCGCTGCGGCTCTTCGAGGTCGGTGCCGGGAAGCGCTCCGGCTGCCCCGCGGAGGGGCTGGAAAGGGGCCGGCTGCTCCCTGCCCCGAAGGCAGCGGGGAAAAGCGCTCCCCGTTTCGCCGGGACGCAAGCCAAGCCAGGCTCCGTGGGGAGAGAGAAACGGGGCCGGCTTGCCTTTGCGAAGTCTCGGGGGGCTCGGATTTAAAAGAGCCACTTTGGGGTTGCCCGACCTCCCTGGGCCGCGTTGAGGGAAGAGGCGCTGGTTCGCGTCTACAAATCACATCAAATGTCAAAAGTTTGCATTCTTGTGGGGCCACGTGGCGGCCGTCCAGGCCTGCAGGTGCCTGGTATAAGGATTAAGGTGCCGGCCTTGAAACCAGGAGAGACTGAATTCTAGTTCTGCTTTAGGCGAAACAGGCACTGGGTAATTTTGGGTCCCTCCCCTCCTGCCTTAGGCCTGAAAGCCAGCTGGGCCAGACCCTCCTCCCTCAGCCCACACACACTACTGGGTGGTGCTGGTTGGGAAAAGAGGAGGAAGGAGGAAGCATTAGGCCTTGGGTTATTTATAAAACTAATAAAGATGGGATAAAAATATAATTTAAAACAAGTGTGTTGAAACATTGAGAGAGCATGTTTCTCTGTTCTTTTTCTCCTTCAAGTCAGCTGCCAGACTTCATAAAATGACCTTGAAAAGGAAGACACAAGGAATAAAGAGGTAAAACTATATTGTGTGTACATTAACTGAAGGCAGAGTTCAGATATCTGGCAATCCCAACCGAAAATTAATCCAGACACACTCACCATGGGAAATGTTCTTGGCCTGTGACTGTAGCCCTTCCGGTGGTATCTATGGAACCCACAAACTTAAATTTAAAAGCTTACACTTTATACAGTCCTTAAAACTCACAAGCTAAGTATAAAAACAGTTTACTTCAGAGTAGGTTCTGGATATTGGCTGGAGGAAAGCATCCTTGGAGAAAACTGGTAGACCCCTCTGTGTCGTAGCCCAATGGAAACAATCCACACACACACATCTGCTTAGCCAGTTGGGGAAGAGCTGCAGGGCTCTTGGTCTCCAGCCTCATCCAGTCAAGTTCCTACATCTTCAGATTGTAGCACAGAGCAGCCTGAGTGGTGTCAAAGGAAGGAAATGATAGTAGAAAATACAACGAGAATTAAAACAGTGAGAACTCAAGTAATTGAAAATACCAACAGGGCATAAGCAAATGTTTTCATGACATGAATGTATTCTTGATGCACAAGATTTTAGAGGTGCACTTGTATTGTCTCAGTAGAGTTAAGTCTCCAAAGGCAGAAACTAAGACAACTTGTCGAAGATCCATGCGTTTGCAGAGAATAGATCCACTGGGCATTCCCCTCCCGGAGCCAGAAGCAAAGGTGGAATCTCCTGTGGAAGAGGAGCATGTAAGAGGACCACAGGGGAGAGGGCAGGTTAAAATGCGCTTGTGCTTGGCCCTCTGGGTGACTCAGACACATTAGGGGCTTCTGCCCTTGGCTGGCAAAGCTTTTTTGATTGAGAGTTACCTTATGTAGGGACTTCTGATCCTAACGGATGGTCTTGGATTTTCAATGCCACCTCGCTACTAATGTGCATGCAGTTGCTTTGAGTGTGACTTAAATTTAGCTTTGCTCAAGTGACTTGGATTATGCAAACAAAGCAAAATAATTTGTTTAAGAATCTGTATTTCTGCTTGCTGCTTTTTCTGTGAACTGCACTGATAATATACAATGCAATTCACTGTTTTATACATCTTTTCCTTTTTTGAAAGGCCCGATTGCCACCTGGCCCTCATCCAATGGTTGCTACTGTTCAGGAGCCAGAAACTGACACATTTCTCAGCATTTGGGCAAAAATAAGCCAGGTATTTTTAGAATTCACTAGTAAGTTTGAAAGAGACTGAACACTTAATGTAAATAATTTCTGCATTGTTTTCCAACCATTAACTAGGTGGAAGAAAAGAAGAGTGAGAAGAGCTCGTGTAATTTAGAAAGGTGACTCTGAAATTAATTCTAACTTGGTTTTTTAAAATGCGTTTACTTTGTATTTAAACTAACATATTCATTATTTTGACCCAGTTACAAAACTCATCTCCGTGGGATGGTCCTCAGAGAAGAACATGTTGCAAAAGTGGTGAAAAGCCGGATTTATTCTGTGGCTGTCCATCCATCAGAAAGCAGAACTCTGGTGGCAGCTGGGGACAAGTGGGGGCAGATTGGCGTCTGGGATTTGGTAAGTACTTCATGATTCATTGTTTTTGCAGCAATGTTTTATTATGCTTTCAAGATAGCTTCCATATAAGTTATGTTAGGTAGAAATAATTGAATGTTTAAAGAAACAAGAAACATTTGGCTGGGCAAGTGAATATTGTCAGGCAAAAAAATGAAACTCAGATGTGGCCCTCCTGCTATTCAGATGAGTCAGGCTGCTCTGTTTCCCTCTCACTTGGCAGGATTTTGATAGCCGAGCAGAGGTTTGAGCTTTGCTCCAAGGCAGTGTTTTTTAACTGTGGCAACTTTAAGATGCTATGGTATGTTGGCTGGGGAATTCTGGGAGTTGCAGTCCAGACATCTTAAAGTTGTCAAGGTTGAGAAACACTATTCCAAGAAATGTAGGTTCTGTGATTTGGAAAGAAATGGAGAAGCTTAAGAAAGGCTTGTGCACTGTCTGATTTCCTTTTGCTTCTGACAAGCAAAGTCGATGGGAAGCCAGATTCACTTAACAACTGTGTTACTAACTTAATAATTGCAGTGATTCACTTAGCAATTGTGGCAAGAAAGATCATAAAATGGGGCAAAACTGACTTAACAAATGTCTCACTTAGCAATAGAAATTTTGGGCTCAATTGTGGTCGTAAGTTGAGGACTACCTGTATTATTCTGGAGAAATCCAGGAAGATTGAGAAGTGACCAATTATTGAAGGAGAGCAAACATCTTTACAGTATATTCAAAAAGATAACAAGGAAGATAGAAGAGCTGCTGAAGCCTGTCTCTGCCAGCTTTCTCTGTCTTCGTTAAATCAGATCCCTGGGAATATCAATACAAAAGGCTTTTTTGTTTTGGTTCACCCAAGTTGGAACATTCTCACTTTTTGAGATGGGGCCCTCTGGCTGGAGCACAGCATTTGTGTCCCTGTGTGAGAAAGTATTCCTCTTCCTGGTGTGGCCCTTGCTGTGAGTTCCATTGCTGATTGTGAAAAGCAGGACTGTAACTCTGGTATTGCTCTGGTTTGTGTTTTTCAGGACTCCAGTTTAGAAAATGGAGCCTACGTCTTCACACCTCACAGCCAGGCAGTCAGCTGTTTGCACTTTTCTCCCATTAATCCTGCTCATCTTTTATCTCTCAGTCACGATGGCACATTACGATCTGGGGATGTAACTCGAAGAATTTTTGAGGAGGTAAATATTTCAGCCATTAAATAATACTAGGAATCCTATAATTTCATGTTTGGCAGAGACCTTGTGGATAATCTACTCCAAGTCCTCTGTCTGCTTATACTTACCTATTTTTTAGGGAAAGGCTGCAAAGTCTTGACAGCACTGTTCCTTTAGCAAGTGGAGCATAGCTTGACTCAGTTGGGTACAGTGGAGTTTGGGATGGGCTCTCCTATTCCTGCCCTTCTTCCCTGTCCCTGGAGGCAGGTGAAACTGAAAAGAAGCAATGCTCTCTCCCATCTGCCTGGGAAGCCTTTGCCGCTATCGGAAGGCGAGCGCCACAAGTTGAGGCCTGGGCCTCTAGACAGAATATCACAGGATACTCTGGATAGTTGTGTTCTAAGTGACAACTTCCAGCTGTGCTTATTTTTTTCTGAGTTAGAGAATGAATATTATTGTGTGTTTGGGAAACTCAACTGTCTTCAGGAAAGTCTGCTTTTCTCCTTTTGACTGCTATAAGTGAGCCTTGAAAATAGATGGAAGTTTAATTTCCAGCTGTTATGAAATGCAAGCATCAAGTCAGTAGCTCAGGCTGAATAATGCCTTAGGCCTAGTCTTAATGGAAACCTCTTTCTCATTCACAGATATACCGAAATGAGAGCCACAGTCTTTCTTCATTTGACTTCTTGGCAAGCGATGCCTCTACTTTGGTTGTGGGAATGTGGGATGGAAAGGTAGCCATAGTGGATCGAAGAACACCAATCCCATCCCCCGAGATCTCGGTTGATCTTCATTCAAAGACAAGGACGGTCCATGTTCACCCCGTCCATAGAGAGTACTTTGTTGCTGCTGGGGAAAGGTGAGTTCTCACACAGGTGCAAAGGTGTGCTAGGCTGGTAGCAACGGGAAAGCAGCAGCCACCCATTTGAGTTAGAATAAAATCTAGAGAATAGAATCTAAAGAAAAATGTTTGGTGTAATGAATAAAGAATTGGTTGAAAAGAGTCCTTTAGGCCAGGGGGTCACCAACCTTTCGGACCTCAGGGACCACTAAATTCATAACTTTAAATTCCGCAGACCACTAATATTAATCCAGCGTGCCACTTGCTGAAGTGCCTGGACTCCCAGTGATGGGATGGGGTCCTTCAGGCACTTAGCTTGGCCACCTGTTTCTGCAACCTTAAACACTCAAAGAACAATAGAGACAATATATTAGACAATATTATAGAGACAACCCAGATTATTGGGGGCAATATGCTATTTAGTATACTGTCTTTGGTGTAAACCGCCGAGAATCCTCGGACAGTGGGCGGCATAGAAATATGAATAATAAAATAAAATAAATAAAAAATATCAAGATCACATGAACTTTTAATACTGCTTTATAGTGGCTTGGTAAGACTACAATTGGACTATTGTACCCAGTTTTGGTTGCCATGATATAAAAAAAAGATGTTGTGACTCTAGAAAAAATGCAGAGATCAACAAAGATGACAAGGGGACTAGAGGGTAAATCATATGAAGAATAGTTATGTTGTGGCCCGCCAGCAGCCAGCAGAGCTGGCAGCAGATTCGGACAGTGAGGTTGGGAAGGAACGTGGGTCAGTCCTGGAATCTGGGGAAGGCTCGGATGATGGCTCTTGAGTTCGGAGGCAGAGAGGAGGCCAAGGCCATCTGCTAGTTCTTTGGTGTCTGACATCAGCGAGGCAGAAGAACAGCATGAGCCTGTTCCCAGTGTGCGCATGAGCAGAGCTGCCAGGAGACAGGAACAATTAAGAAAACAGGGTCGACTTGGGAGTAAGGCTTGGAGATGATTGGCCCCTCCCATAAAACATAAAAGAGAAGCGAACGGGACGTGAACTTTTGCAGGAAGCAATTAGTTCATCTGGCCGATTCAATATTTAAAAAATCTGTTTGTGACTCTGTGCCAAGTTTGGCCTTGCCCTGCGTCTGGAAATTAGCTCTTTGGCAGTGTTCCACGTGAGATAGGTGGGTGTTGATAACCTTCCTCTGAAAGACTGTTTATCAAGCCTTGCGGACTGTAAATGAAAGTAATTTACAGCCGTATGAATTAAACAGGTTTGCCAGGACTAAGTTTGTGCTGTTTAATTTCTAAGGAAGCCTAGGTCAGAACAAGTTATAGGAATTGGATATGTCTATGAAAAGTCCAATGAAAAGAAGGACTAGGGGTGACATGATAGCAGTCTCCTAATATTTGAGGGGCTGTCACAATATTTGATGGGAGAATAGGGTCAACCTATTCTCTAAAGCACCTTAAGGCAGGACAAGAAGTAATGGATGGAAACTTGTTAACAGATCTAACTTAGAATTAAGGAGAAATGTCCTGTCAGTGAGAGCAATTAATCAGTGGAATGGCATGCCTCCAGAAGTTGTGAGTGCTCTATCACTGAGATTTTTAAGAAAACCGGACAGCCAGTTGTCTGAAATGGTGTAGGGTCTCCTGCTTGAGCAGTGAGTTGGACTAGAAGACCTCCAAGACCCCTTCCAACTCTCTTGTTCAACTAGGTATAAATCCATCTGATTACGGGACAATCCATCTCATGTTGTTCCATTATACTTAAGAAGTTTATCAAATGCTTATTGAAGTCTAGACATCTGGGTCTACTAATCTAGCCTCTCTGTCAAAACAGAGAGTCCAATATGACCTGTTTCTAACAAATCCATGCTGGCTTCTAGTAATTACTTTGTTTCTTGCTTAGGGCTTACATGCCCGCTGCTTGATGCTCTTTTCTAGGGTTTTCCTTGTTCCTGATGTCAAGCTGATGGGTGGATCCACTTTGTTTTCTTTCTTAAAGATTGGAACAATCTTTGGTCTTCTCCAATCTACTGTTACTTCCTCTATACTATTAGTCAAAAAGTCACTGACTCCAGCCTAGACTGCATGAAACTTTCCATTCGTTCAGTTTACTATTCTATTGCTTTATTGGCCTAGACATCTGTTTATAGATACTCAGTAATTCTTTTGTTTCTACTAAAACAGCATTTTTGCTTAGGATCGTAATGAAATAGTCTTTAATCTCTGTTGGGAAAATGGGACAATGAAACTTTATTCTCACATCAGCTGGAACATAGACACTACATTTTTAATAAGTAAAATATACAGAAGGTAGTGTATAAATTAAGGAAATCTAATTACTAGGCCTATCCATATTACTCATTCAGAATATTGATTTAAATATTACAAGATATTGCTTCATAAAATGATGCATTATTTAATTATTAAGTAATTTCAAATACTTCCATTATAAAGCATGTTATAAACATTTACAATTTACATTCTAAAGGAGAAGCCAACAGATGTGCATAACATTGTTTTTCCCCCCACATAATTCTTGGTTTTGTTTGAACGGCTAGAAAATGGAACAGTTCTCAAACTGTCAACCTTTATTTTTTCTCCTTTCTCTAAGTGAAGGGCACTCACAGTTAATCAAAATTTAGCTAATTTGCCTTGCAGATTGCAACTGCGACATCTTAAAGGTTATTGTCCAATTTCTGCTTAGTTGATTCCAGGGAAGAATCCAGATTTCCAATGCAGCAAGATCCAAAATGCCTCACATTTCTTTTCCTGCGTCCTTCTTTTGCTTTCTGGAATCATTGAAAACAATTTTGCTCTGTCTTCTTGATTGTGGTGGCTCTTTCACATACCATACATATCAATTAGCGGATCATTTGATCATGGGCTGGATGGGTAACTGGCTTCTGTGGAACATAGAGCAAAATTTGTCTAATCAGAAGATGAGATTTTTGTCCCTCCCAGATAGGAACTGCTAACTGTCACTTCCAAATGACTCTGAATTTAGTGTTAACGATCTATGGATGTGGAGAGAAAAGTTCCGATTTACAGGTGGATCTTTCTCCCCAAGATACTTGGAAGTGTGGCGTATCCTCTTTAATTTACTGGACAATAAAGACTTTGCTTCTTGAATACTTTTAGGTGTACCTTATAAATTATTGGCTTCTAATTGTGAAAGTAACCAATAATTCAACATACCAGTTTACAGACATCTTCTGTTTTTACACAATGGCAATGTATGCCCTTCAGTACTTGTTGGTTGTGCTGCACATATGAAAGAAACATGAAAATATGGAACTGTTGAAGCACATCCAGTATACTATGCAACTGGAATATCTGTGGAGATCGCAAAGTAGTGGTTCTGCTTGTTGGAATGCAGCTTTAGCATACCATGTACTGTTTTTATATCTCCAGTTATGATGCTGAATTTATCCTTATATTATTTATTTATTTTATTCAATTTATTTATTTATTTATTTTATTCAGTTTGTATGCCGCCCTTCTCCTAGTGGACTCAGGGCGGTGCACAGCCAGAACTAAAACACATACCAATACAAAATTTAAAATTATTAAAAGAATTACATAACTTTGGCCCAAATTTAAAACAATTCAAATTAAAACCCATGGACAATTTAAAAGCTAAAAAACTAAAAAAGACTAAAGAAGGGGGGGGGTTCACGCCAGCCCTGCTTGATGGAAAAGAAAAATTTTCAGGGCATGGCGAAAGACCCGGAGATCCGATATCCTTCGTATCTCCGGGGGCAAATCGTTCCAGAGGGCAGGAGCTGCCACAGAGAAGGCCCTTCCCCTGGGGGTCGCCAGCCGACATTGCCTGGCTGACGGCACCCTGAGGAGTCCCTCTCTGTGGGAGCATACTGGTATTATGGAAATAATGTTAAGTTCTGCTGAGCTATTTATGGATTTACTGCTTTAGTCAAAATTCCTTTGGTATACAAAAACTGTGGCTCTGGTCAATGCAAGAGGAACAGCAGTATTATACTCAAGTATTTCTTCCTCAAGAAGCCTTCCCTGGACCCAGCAGTGTTGGCTAATTACCGTCCAGTCTCCAACCTTCGCTTCGTTGCGAAGGTTGTTGAGAGTGTGGTAGCGTGACAGCTTCCTCAGTACTTGGATGAATCGGCTTATCTAGATCCGTTCCAGTCGGGCTTCAGGCCTGGATACAGCACGGAAACGGCATTGGTCGCATTGGTAGATGATCTCTGGAGGGCTCGGGACAGGGATTGTTCCTCTGTCCTGGTCCTATTAGACCTCTCAGCAGCTTTTGATACCATCGACCATGGTATCATGCTGCACCGGTTGGAAGGGTTAGGGGTGGGGGGCACCGTGTTGCGGTGGTTCTCCTCCTTTCTCTCTGATCGGTCGCAGTCTGTGTTGACGGGGGCAGAGGTCGACCCCGAGGCCCCTTGTATGTGGGGTGCCACAGGGGTCGGTTCTCTCACCCCTTCTGTTCAACATTTATGTGAAGCCGCTGGGTGAGATCATCCGTGGTTTTGGGGTGAAATATCATCAGTATGCTGATGATACTCAGCTATACATCTCCACCCCGGACCACCCCAATGATGCCCTTAAAGTGATGTCCCAGTGCCTGGAGGCTGTACGGATCTGGATGGGGAGGAACAGACTCAGGCTCAATCCATCCAAGACCGAGTGGCTGTGGTTTCCGACGTCCCGATATAGTCAATTGGTGCCATCACTGACTATTGGGGATGAGTCATTGCCCCCCACGGAGAGGGTTCGCAACTTAGGCGTCCTCTTGGACTCACGGCTGTCTTTAGAAGAACACTTGACGGCTGTGGCCGGGAGGTCTTTTTATCAGGTTCGCCTGATTCGCCAGTTGCGTCCCTTTCTGGATCGGGACTCGTTAAAAACGGTCACTCATGCCCTCGTCACTTCACGCCTGGACTACTGTAATGCTCTCTACATGGGGCTCCCCTTGAGGAGCACCCGGAGGCTCCAGCTGGTCCAGAATGCGGCCGCGCGGGTAGTTATGGGAGCAGCATGGCGCTCCCATGTGGCTCCCCTCCTGCGCGAGCTGCACTGGCTCCCTGTGGTCTTCCAGGTGCGCTTCAAGGTCTTAGTTACCACCTTTAGAGCGCTCCATGGCTTAGGACCGGGGTACTTACGAGACCGCCTTCTGCCACCAATAGCCTCTCACCGCCCAGTATGCTCCCATAGAGAGGGGCTTCTCAGGGTGCCGTCAGCCAAACAGTGTCGACTGGCGGCCCCCAGGGGGAGAGCCTTTTCTGTGAGGGCACCCACCATCTGGAACGAGCTCCCCCCAGAGAAACAGAGGATTCCGGATCTGCGCACTTTCCGCCGTGCCCTCAAAACATTCCTGTTTCAGCAGGCCGGCCTGGCCTAACTTTCCCTTTATATTACTTTTGATTTTATTTTAAACTGGGATGTCTTGAATTATCTAGGACCAGAGTGTTTAGTATATTTTAATTGTTTTTTTTTTTTTATTAACGTTTGTATTACATGTATTTTTATCGTTCGCTGTTCACCGCCCTGAGTCCCTTAGGAATAGGGCGGTATATAAATTTAATAAATAAATAAATAAATAAATAAATAAATAAATAAATAAATAAATACTCAATATACAATATAATTATATATTAAAAATTTCAGTTACTTCAACCTTCCAAGCACTCAAGATCTAAAGGCCTTCTAAAGAGCCAGTGTTTTACAGGCTTCTGGAAGGCCCACAAACGGAACCCCTGCACATTGGAGCCCCTTGCATCCTGCCTCTCAGCAGGAGCCTTCCTTGCTCCCTGATTGGGCAGGCAAAATCTAAACTTTATTATCAGGAACTGGCTAAAAAAGCTGGAAACTGTCAAAAAACTTATTGTGCTCAGGTGACCATGAAATGCTGCAATCGGTCCTAAATTGAGCTGGTTGCCAAGCGCCTGAAATGCAGTCACGACTGCAGGCGTGTATGCAGCATCAAAACTCTGGAACGGGTCGTAAGGAGCTTTTGGGGGGCCATTGTAAGGTTGAAAAGTCACTAGGCAACTGGCCTCTTAACAAGTACCATCTGCACCTTTATAGATGCCCTGGTCTAGATCTCATCCAGAGGTGGGTTGTACTCAGAAGAATGGCCCTCACCCCTCAAGCTCCTCCCAGCAGCTGTGCTTGGTGGTGGTCCTGACCAGCAGCCTCTGGGCTGCTGCACTTTGCACCAAGTGAGGTTTCTGAGTGGTCTTCAAAGGCAACTCCATGTAAAGCTACTTACAGAAATCCGCAGAGAAAATGACTATCTCTAGTGCCACTTGCTGTGAGTGTGGTTTGTTTGATTGCTGTTGGTTTTGATGCCCTTCCAAAAGTTTCTTTTGCCTCATCCCTCAAGCTATCCACCTCCTTTTGTTTTCTGTATGCATGGCACACACCTGTAGCAACTGGCTTTGTGGTGCTTGGTTACCTGTTCTCGGATACGTCGTTGTCGTCATCACCATGTTCCCCCTGACATTAGTCCTTTGCTCCCAGGCTACAGAACCCTTTCTGCCCGCTTCCAGTTCTGAGCACCCAGCCCTGTGGTTTTATCCAAAAGCCCTCAGCCCAGCTGGGAGCTCCATCACATACCTCAATGTTTGCTTAACAAGACTGGGACTGGTGATGCAACACACCAGAAAAAGCACAGACCTCATGTAGGCTGAGCAGGTGAGGCACAGGAAAGTAGGAAAGAAGCAGTAATGAGGACACCCCCATTAAGTCTAAAACTGGGTTCAAGAATCCTTTTGGCCATTATTACCTCTGAAAACCTGTTTCTTCACTCCCAGAACCCAGAGACTCTTCCTGAAAAGCTTCCTTGCTTAGATTCCCCACAACTGTGAACTTAAATTCTCTTCCATCAGAGGAGATGTGCGCTCCTTTGCCTTAGTCCCACTTATTCAGGAGTGATGGAAGGTGATTCCCTACGCAGCGTCTCCTGATCTTTGAAGAAAGTCTGCAATCCTGGTAAATCCCTGTTTCGGTTGCTCTTACAGAAACGTCAGTATTTACGATGCTCGGCACCTGAAGAGCAGAAGCCAGCCAGTAGTTGTTCTCAGCGGACATACCAAGAGTGTTGCTTCAGCTTATTTTTCACCTGTGACTGGAAACAGAGTAGTGACAACTTGTGCTGATGATACACTGAGGTATGTGTAAATTGGCTTTGAATTAGATTTTGTTTTTGGGAGTCTGCCTTCTAATTTTCTTCCCCTGCAGCCAAAATATTTTATTTAGCAGGACAAAGGGTCCAAGGAAATTGCCTAAGTAGCCTTCACACCAGATGTCTATTGAGGCACATTTGCCCTCACAGCAATTTCTCTTTTTTCTTTGCAATGTGTGCAGAACAAAGGGAGTTTGTTGGTTTCTGTGTAAAAATTGGGAGGCAGAGGAACTCTGTTGAAAGAGGGGCTGGGGAAATGCTAGAGGACTCCACATACATACCTCTATACCCTTATTGTAAATATTGTGAGGAATCGAGCAATTCTGGCTCTACTATTGACCATAGGATTCCACAAACTGGAAAGTCCGAATGTGAGTTCACAGAGCAAGAGGAGCTCCAGTTCACTCCCCCCTCCAGCTGGGACCAGTTGGCATCTGCCCCAAGGGAAGAGAAGAAAGAAAAACATCCTCGAGCAGCAGCTGCCTCCTTCTCAAGCATCTCTGGAAGGAGTTGCATAGAATCTGTAGCTGAATGAACAGAACCAGTTGCCACGGTGTGGGCCCACATGTGGGCACAAGCTACCACTCGGTGGTGGGGTTCCCGTTTTTCACCAGGATTGTTTTGCTCTCATCAGCTGCTCCAAGAAGCCTGGAGCCAGCTGGGATTGACAGCTTAGAAAATATTTTGACATCAATCAGGATGGAAACTGAACCATCAGGGAATTCCCAAATGCCCAGAAAACTCAGGCAGTGGGCTGGACCATCTTATTCTTAAGGGGCTCCTCAGCTACATAGATATCAAGGGTGATCTGCAATCTGGCTAGAAGGGGATTGGAGCACGGCAAGCAGGGGTGAAATGCTACCTGTGTGGGCTGATTCGCCCTAACAGTTAGTAAAAAATGTCACTGGGTCACCGAACTGTTAGTAAAAAACGTTTTAAAAAAAAAACAGTTCCGATGATCAGCTGAGCGAGGTGCGATTGTCAGGACTTCTTTTTTTTGAACTTTTTTAGCATTTTTTTACTACCGGTCCTGGAGAAAAATTAAAATTAAATTAAAATTAAAAATGCTTTAAAAAGAAAAAAAAAAGTTTCGATGATTGCGCATCACTCAGCTGATCGTCGGAACTTTTTTTTTTTTAGGCATTTTTTTAACTACTGGTTCAGGCGAATAGATAGTAAAAAATGCTTTAAAATTTTTTAAAAAGGTTCCAACGATCACAGCTGTGGCGCACGATTGTTGGAGCCCCCCCCTTTTTAAGCATTTTTACTACCTACTCGGACAAGCCAGTAGTAAAAAATGCCCTTAAATTTTTTTTAAAAGGTTCCCACGATCGCGTGGCACAGCTGATCACACCCTCCCCCCCCCCGCCCCATGCTGTTCTGCTTACCTTCCCAAGCCGCCTTTTCATGCGCACGGTGCACTGGTAGTGAACTAGGAGTTCCTAAATCAGCTCCTAGTTCTCCTTTTGTGTTCTCTCTGAAAGTTTGATGAATTTAAGGCCTTTTTGTTGGATGAGTAGGTTGGATAAGTAAGTGGGGAGAATGCTGGAACAGTAATAACAACTCCAGCTTTCCCCCAGTTGCGTGGTGGGAAATAGGAGGCAAGGAGGGGAATGTTTACCTGTTGGCGTGGGGGGAATAGGCTCTGTAGAAAGAGGCAGGGGGAAGGAAGCAGCCTCTGGCCTGGAATCGGCCAACATGGTTTAGAATCAGGAAGTCAGGAAGCTTTAAAAGGAGAGATGAGGAAGCAGTGGTTGATTCTTCTGAATTGAAGCCTGCTGTTTCTCTGGAGGATCTCTGCCTATCTGCTGCTGGTATAACATAGGTCATCATTACGGCGATTCTACTTTTCAGAGGTGGTTCTTCTGTTCTTGAGTCAACCTGTGGACTAGGTTGTTGACTTGGTTTCACTTCCAAGTGGAGGTCAACTGACTGTGAAAGCTCTCAATTTTCACAAGCAAGTCTTCTGTCAGGAACTTGGTCCCTGAGCAAAGACAGTGGAGTAGCCAATACAGGAGGGGTGGGGATAGTGGAATACTAACCAACCGATGCTATGCCTAGCTGTATTGATTCCTTGTTGGGGGATGCTGCAGGAGAGGTGAAATATTTGATCCTCAGGGAAGTTTTGATACAATCTTTGTGCAAAATGAGATGGATGATTAGAGTGTCCCAGCACAAACCTTCATATGAGAAGGATTGATGAGAGTTGATAGCATGTTTCTTCCAATTACTGATGTTGGCCAGATGTGGAGTGTCTACACAGGAGATGCCCAGTTGCTATCCCCTGGGTCATGCTGGAAGGCTGTGTAGAGAGATGTATGGACTGCCGTGCCCCATAAGACCGGGCCTGGGAGCAGCCTGATTTATGTCAGTGAGTTTCCCCCCAGCTTGGGGAGGGGAGGGGAGCAAAGGTAAGCAACTTTAGGGATAAGCCATAAGCGGCACTTAAAAGCAATCAAATTGTTTATTACAGCCATAAGGCTAGATATAGTGGAATATCCAATTGTAGAACTGTCGCATACACCCCATATATATACAACAGAAACACAACAAGTTCTGCATCATAAGATCTAAATAAGATTATTTATCATAACATAAAAATGATAAGGGGGGGGCCATGTAAGACAGCAGTTAATGATCTGAGGGTTTGGGTCTGGGATTTCTTCTTTGACTAAACCCTCATTTTTGCCTTACAGGATCTTTGGAACTCAGTGTTTATCATCTTTAGCTCCTATTCTCACAACTATTCGGTGAGTTAAGACAAGGAGATTGACTGGATACAGGTAGCCCTTGACTTATGACAAAAAAAAATCAATTTCTAAGCAAGACAGTTGTTAAATGAGTTTTACCTATTTTACAACCTTTCTTCCCACAGTTGTTAAGTGAATCACTGCAGTTGTTAAGTTAGTAACATGATTATTCAGTGAATCTGGCTTCCCCATTGACAAGGTTACCAAAGGTGATCACCTGACCCCGGGACTCTGCATCAGTCATAAATACATGCCAGTTGCCAGGAATCTGAATTTTCATCACATGATTACAGGGATGCCTCAGTGGTTCTAAGTGTGAAAAACGGCCATAAGTCATTTTTTCCCATGCCAATGTAAGTTTGAACAGTCACTGGTTATAAAAGAATGGTTATAAAAGTTGAGGACTACCTGTACTGATGAGAATGATATTGCCTAAATGAACCCAATTTTCCAAAGTGCACAGAGCTTGGCATCCGAGTGTCATTCAGGAATTTAAAGGGCAAGTGAGCCAACGCCGCGTCTCTCTCTCTCTCTCTCTTCCCTTTTCTGAACAGGCACAACAACAACACAGGTCGATGGCTGACCAGGTTCCGGGCAGTTTGGGACCCCAAACGGGACGACTGCTTTGTAGTGGGGAGCATGACACGGCCGAGGCAGGTCCAGGCCTTTCATGCCAGCGGGGAGCTGCTCCACTCCTTTCTGAGTGAGGATTATCTTAACTCTGTTTGTTCCATCAATTCCTGGCACCCCACCAGGTACCTGGTTGCAGGTGGGAATTCCAGTGGCCGCCTGCACATTTTTAAAGAGTGAAAGATATGCTGAAAACAAATCAGAATTTAGTGTTTAGTTTAGGTATTCCTTATTTTGCTTCAGGGCAAAGACAGCTACAGACCAATAAATACGTTGCATCACATATCTGAAGAGGTCTTCCATTGCGACTAAGTTGGAAATTAATAAGGCTCAGTTTGCCATATGGGATTGTAACTTTTTGAACAGGTGGTGAGAAACTCTTGGTGTCAATTTAATCACTGTTGGTGTCAATTTAATCACAGAGGCTTATAAATCTGTCACAAACTGCAATAGATAAACCTCATTTAGAAGTTAAGTGCTGGTACTTTTGTGATAAGAAATTTAAATGTGTGTTCAAGAATCAATAAAAAGCATATTTTGATATTTTTAATTCAAACAGCATGTTTATATTGTTTATTCCTAGTATCGATTGGAAATTATGAATGCTCTGATCAGAAAAATGGCTCTTACAAATTAGGGGGGGTGGCCCCTGTGTTAGTAAACATCCTTAACGTATAAACAATTGTATAATACACATCCCATGTTAATTATTCATGCTTCTCTTATAATGCCCCTTAAACATACTTAAATGTTTTTAGTAATCATTGTACACAATTGTTCCACAATTAAATTGCTCAAAAGGATTTTTTTCCATCATAATTAAGTATTTATTTAAATTTGAAAATACTTTGATATGGAATCAATGGTTTGCACTAACTACAGGCTGAATATGTAGAAAAATTTACATCTTTGAAGAAAAAATGTGACATATAGTATTTGGCACATGAATTAACAACATCTATATTATGAAAATGAAAAATCACATTTTCAGATGATCGACCTTTTCCTGCTTCGGTGTGCAGCACTTTAGTCCTCATTCAGATGAGCAACCTGTGGAAATCCCCCAAGTCATACAGTTGTGATTTGGAACAAATGAGCAGTGAGCCATGAAACAGAAGGCTGAAGGGTTGGATTGGCAGAAACAGAGCTCAGTCCCCCAACGCATTCTGAAGGGCACAAGAGAAAGTGTCCTTAATTGGGCCCAGGATTTAGGGTCAACAGCTATCTAAGAATGACTTGCCCCCATCAAAGTTTGCATCTTGTCTATTTAAAAAATGTATTGCATGAAATAGTTACAGGTAGAATTGGACAGGTTTGAGACACCACCAACAATTAACACATGAACATTTGTATCTTCCCCTGGAATGGAGAATACGACATGAAAACTTTTCCCTCACTGCATAGAAGCATCATTTACTACAGACTGAGGTAGGAACACCACACTAGAAGTTTTTGTTGCTTTGTTGCATAAAACATTATAAATCCTTGGATAGGTCCCTCCATCTTCTTGTAGACAGTACAAAGTGTAATGCATCCGTTCCTCTTGTGAAAGCCACAATTGCTTCTGGCTCCTGAGAGGCTAGCTATACGATTCAGCTATCTGACTCTGAGGGGAGGCCCTCCGTTAACCGGCATCTTCACTAGCCAATGTGCATGCGCCCCGTCTAAGTGCAGCAGAGTCTTGCCCATTCCCACGTATTGCTAATGCTGTTAATTGTGCTCTGTTTTGACTGGCGAATGACCAGCTGTGGAGGAAAAGTCATTGCGCAAAGTCCCAACTCCACAGCTCCTTCCCATTGGTTCTGGCAGTGTTTCGGTTCTGCTGAATTCGGAGGGCCTGTGCGCATACGTATGGCTGCCCGGGCAGAGTCAAGATCATGAAACCGGCCTCTTGAAATATTTCTGATTAGATCCCCGAATGACTTGAAATCTCTCCCTGAGATGAAATAGGACCCTTGCCAGTCAGATTTCGTGCTCTTACTCTCTTCCCATGTTTTATTGCTCCCTGTACAAATGAGCTGCTGCTTTTAGAGAATGTTCTCTGAATCACAAAACAAAATACAAAGAAGTCTGGATTCCCTTTGCTTTGGAGACAATGTTGGTTTGGTGGTTACTTGTCATTTCTCCTAATTTTCATTTTAAAATAGCACAAAATAGCCCACTTTTTAGAAACGATGGATGGTTGATTGAGTGTTAACACATTGTTCTAAAACATTTGTAACCTTGTGAGTATCTCCGTCACTTGATACCCAACACTACATTTATCCAATTTATAAAGTAAAAAATGGTTTGGTTCATTAACAAAATATATATTTTTCTTAAAATATAGGTTGAAATAAGTTCTTTCGTAATACAAAAAAATTTACAGTTTACTGTGGCAGAATCTCATTCAAAGAATCCAGACCTGATGATTCCTACTACAGCAAGATTTCAAAAACAACAATCAGGTGCACAGATTGACTCTTCCCGTCTACACCAACTCCTGTTTTTTTTTGGCACCCAACTATTCTAAGAAAAGGTCTCTCTGGGATTGAAAAGGCCAAAGATTGAAATTCACCAAAGACAGATATTTAATGGCCGTTGCACTCCATGCTAAGGGAAGAAATAAATTTATGCCTGCTGACTTCCTCTCGTAACAATCTATTGCTTGAAAAGAATAATGCTAGATGATCTCACAATATTGGCATTGGTCCTATCATTCCCCCCCTCCCATCACTCCCCCACATAAAGCCTGGTGATTGGTAAGAAAATAAAACTGCCCTATTTTCAATGTCCATGTCCAAGATGGTAGTGCTATGCACGGTGACAGTTTTAATAAAATAATACTATATTATTAAACTTACAACTCAGTAGCACCATTACAAAAGCTCCTGCATAAAGTAACAGCTGCCTTCATAAACTGGTGTCCCAGCTGAAGGCTGGCATTTAGTCCAACGCTAGTAATAATAAAAATAAACTCTCTCTACTTGAAGTTTCTGCAGTTAACACTTCTACAAAAGCAAAACTAAATTTGAAGAGTGCAGAGTAATTTGAATGTTGGAAAGCAGAACTCTGAAGGAGCTTCCCCCAGGAGGACCTGCAAAGAAATTGATTACGTGGTGCGTTTGATCTGGCAAGAGTCTGTCCTTATCTTCGGCTGGGAAACCGCCCTCCTGGGCCGCAACGTGCTTTGAGTCATGAGAGGAGGAAGAGGAGGAGGACTTAGTTTATGTGCTGATGGCGCCACGATGAGCCCCATTTTCTGGGAATGGGCAGCAGGGATCTTCCACAGTCCGCCCGGTTAGTTACTAGGAGGACAACTGCCTTCAGGTATCATTGAGCAGGCTGAGTACGGAGCGGATTTTGCAGGCAAACCATCGCCTGAGGGGACAAAAGTATTGGTAATGGAATTGTTCAAACTCGGGGGTCTGGCGAATATCACGGAAAAAGGCAATGTCAAGGTCAGACTCCGTAAGGATGATCAGGAGAAGGAGCAAAACCAAGAGGAGTCCGACTGTCACAAGGAGCAGACGGAGGACACTTAAAACAAACTTATTCACCTGTTCTGCTTGGGCTCCTCCACTGCTGCACAAGGCCCGGAGGTCCCTTCCCAGCTCCTCTGCCTCCCCCGCTGGAGCGCTGGCTTCCGACTCCTCTTCCTCTATGCTGCAAGGGGTGCCATTAACCGGCCGGGACAGCAGCATCAGTTCCAGGCTCTCTTCGGCCACCGGAGTGGGCAGCACGCTGTCCGATGGACTGTAGACCTCATCTGAGATGATTGCCACACGCTCGTTACTCTCCGCCCTGCTGCTCCGCGAGTGGAGCAAAAAGGCGTCGCTGTGGGAGGTCGACCGGACCGGGGTGGAGTGAGCGCTGTCCCGCAAAGACTCGAGGCCTGAAGAAACAGAAAAAGATGGGTCTCATTGTAGAGCCACAAAAATGGTTTCTACCAACTTTTTATTTTGACATTGCAACTTTCTGCTTGCAGGAGGTCCTATAGGAAAACAGTATTGCAAGTTTAATTAAGGATAGGCATTGATGATTTGGTTTGGTCAACAGAAGGTACTAGAGATTTTAATAGAGATATCTCTATTAAATGTGGATTATAAGATTTTTGCATCAATCATGGCTGAAAGATTAAAAACATTATTAAACAAGTTTATACATTTGGACCAAAATGGCTTTTTACCAAAAGACAAATTAGAGATAATATGCAAATTATATTAAATACATTAGAATATTATGAATTACTCAGAGAAACAAATAGCACTGTTGTTTTTAGATGCACAAAAGGCGTTTGATAACGTGAATTGGCAATTTATGATAAAACAGTTGAAAATGATGGATTTTCCAAAGGATTTTGGAGACAGATTTATAAATATAATCCAAACTATATATAGAGACCAAGCGGCAAAGGTGATGGTAAATGGTGAAATGACAGAGAAAATAGATATTAGAAAAGGAACAAGACAAGTATGCCCTTTATCTCCATTATTATTTATATTGACATTAGCAGTTTTAAATAGAAAAGTGAGTCAGGAAAAGGAAATAAAAGGAATGAGAATCAAAAAATAAGAATATGAACTACAAGCATTTGCAGATGATTTGGAGTTTCAAAATCAGAATAGAGGAGGAAGGGACCTTGGAGGTCGACCCAATAGAGACAGCGCCAAAATTATTAGAGCAAATAGAAGAATATAGGAAGGTCTGAAAATCAATAAAGATAGGACAAAAATATTAGTTAAAAATATGAGAAAATAAAAAAAAAAGGAGATGATGGAGAAACTGGGCTTCCAAATTGTGAAGAAAGTGAAATATTTGGGCATATATCTGACATCAAAATGTGCAACGCTCAAGGAAGACTATTATAAACTGAAAAAACGAATTGAAACAGACCTGGAGAAATGGAGAAACTTGCAATTATCACTAATGGGAAAAATAGCATTAATAAAAATGAATGCATTACCAAAAATATTATTTTTACTTCAAACCATACCAATAAAACTGGAGAAAAATACTTTGAAGAGTTGAAGAAAATAACATGGAAATATGTGCGGCTGTCAGCCTCCGCTTTTACTGCTTCAGCTGCCATAAGAAATGGGTGGGAAACAGGGGGGCGAAGGGAGGGAAGGAAGCAGGAGGAGTTTTCTAAGAAACGAAAGTGATTCTCCAAAGGAGCAGTCAGACCAACCGTCATTACATTCCTGATGGATGACGCTGCCAGACGTGATTCTACCTGACCTTTGGGAGACCTGTGGACTGGATGATGGATGATGGACAGAGTGGGGGGAGATGCTTTCTAGATGCAATTTCGCGCGTTTTGCTTAGTCCCAGCTTTACCTGGGTAGCGATCGCTTCATTTTCAGTAAAAGTACTAATCTCTATAAAAATGGAGTTTGGATCATTCTTTCCTGGAATTTGAAGGAAGCATACCTGACATTAAGCTGGGACTCACCCCAGTCATCCCGGACAAAAACCGAGGGGACTGAAATTCCAAATTATGTCAGACCGAGAAAGTGATGAAGAGATGGGGGCAGCGGTTTCCATGGCAGCCACCCTCCAAGCCAAGAGAGAGAATGCAGAATGGTTGGAAAAACTCTGGCCGGATTCTGAAGAAGCCAGATGGTCAAAAGAGTAGGAAGATTGCCAGACTGGGGGGGGACCCCCCGGGGAGTAACGAGCTCCTGACCTCGTAAGAAAGAGGCCGTCTGGCTGCAGGAGCAAAGGGAAAGCCTCATGCTAGCACAAGCCTTGCAACTTCTCCGTGATGTGGAAGAGAGCAAGAAAAGCCGGGAGAGCTGTGAGTCTTTTGGGTTCCTGTGGAGAAGGGAGGAGAAGGCCCCGGGGGGAGCCAGAAGAGACAGCCTGTGGGGGAGAGGAAGAAGCTGAGGAGGGAACATCCCAGGCTTCTGCAGCTCAAGGGAGGGATGCAGCCGGCCAGGGACCCCCAGCCTTGCAGGGCCCCCCCTCCGCAGACGTAAAAAGCCAAAAATTCCCCCCCTACCTGGGAAATATGATGGAAATCCGAAGACCTTGGGATTTTTCCTGACCCAAGTGTGGAACCACATGCAGGACTGGGGGGAAGACTACGTATCAGATGCCGCCTGAGTGAGAAGTGTCACAAACTCCTTAGAGGGATTAGCAGCTGAATGGATGGTGGTCCTCCACAATAAACTGTACATCTCCACCCCAGGCCACCCCAACGATGCCCTTGAAGTGATATCCCAGTGCCTGGAGGCTGTGCGGATCTGGATGGGGAGGAACAGGCTCAAGCTCAACCCTTCCAAGACTGAGTGGCTGTGGCTCCCGGCATCCCGATATAGTCAGTTGACTCCATCACTGACTATTGGGGGAGAGTCGTTGGCCCCCACAGAGAGGGCTCACAATCTGGGAGTCCTCCTGGATATGCAGCTGTCCTTGGAGGAACATCTGACGGCTGTAACCAGGGGGACCTTGTGTCAGGTTCGCCTGATTCGCCAGTTGCGGCCCTTTCTTGATCGGGATTCCCTGTGCACAGTCACTCATGCCCTCGTAACCTCTCGCCTTGACTACTGCAATGCCCTCTACATGGAGCTCCCCTTGAAGAGCACCCGGAGGCTCCAACTGGTCCAGAACGCAGCAGCGCGGGTAGTGACGGGAGCAGCATGGCGCTCCCATGTAACACCGCTCCTGCGTGAGCTGCACTGGCTCCCAGTGGTCTTCCGGGTGCACTTCAAGGTGTTGGTCATCACCTTTAAAGCGCTCCATGGCATAGGGCCTAGCTATCTTCGAGACCGCCTGCTGCTACCGATGACCTCCCATAGACCCGTGCGCTCCCACAGAGAGGGCCTCCTCGGGGTGCCATCAGCCAAACGGTGCAGGCTGGTGACCCCCAGGGGGAGGGCCTTCTCTGTGGGGGCACCTACCCTCTGGAATCAGTTGCCCCCAGAGATAAGGAGAATCCAAGACCTCAGTGCCTTCTGCCGTGCCCTTAAAACCCATTTTTTCCAGCAAGCCGGGCTGGCTTAAGAAGAAATTTTTTAAATGTTTTAATTGGTAGTGTTTTTTAATTGGGCAAAATTTATATATCTTTTAATTGTTTTTAATATTTGTACTGCATGTTTTTAATTCTGGCTGTACACCGCCCTGAGTCCTCAGGGAGAAGGGCGGTATAGAAATTGGAAATAAATAAATAAATAAATAAATAAATAATAAATAAATAAATAAATAAATAAATAAATAAATAAATAATAACTCCCCCTTACTGAGAAATTACAACCAGTTCATGGGGGCCCTTAGGAGGCGGTTTGAAGACCACTTAGCTGAACGAAAGGCGAGACTCAGGATGAAGGGCATCCAGCAGGGCCGGAGGCCTGTAGCAGAGTATATCCAAGAGTTTCGTGAACTGGCACCCTATATGACAGGGTGGTCAGAAATGGCTCTGTTGGAAAGTTTCAAGGATGGGCTGAATGAAGAGATATACTGAGACTGCAGAAGTATGGGGGTCCCTGAAGACTTGCAGAGTTGGTACATAGTAGCTGAGGATGTGGAGATCAAATTGAACAGAAGCCGACTCTGAGGTGGACGTGCAGGAGATCAGTCATCTTCCTTCCACCATAAGGGAGCACCAAAACCGGCTGGGGGGAGAGCAGAATTCAAACCCAAATCAAAGCCCTTCACCTGTTTCAAATGTGGGAAGGAAGGGCACCGGGTGGCCGAATGTTTTTCCAAACCAGTGCCAAAAGCGGCCGGCTCTGGGCCCAAGAAAATCGACAAAATACCCGCCAAGACCCGCGGCACCGCCCTGAAAGGAGAAGTCGTTGAGTTCGCTCCCCGAAACCAGGGTGTGTTGGGAACTCCGACCAACGACGACGACAGCGAGACGGACTCCGATTCCAACACCGACAATCGGGTGAGTCACACGGAAGACCCTCTGCTCATCCCCGTAGAAGTAAGGGTGCCATCCACAGGGACCCATGCCCAAATGTTAGCTCTGTTAGACTCGGGGTGCACCAGGTGCATAATTAGCCCCAAGGTGGTGGAGGAAATGGGACTGAGACTAAAAATGCTAAAAAGACCCATTGCGTTCTGTCAGTTAGACAGATCGATTGCAGGAGGGGCCCCCGCCAGTTTTATGACCGAACCCCTTGAATTGCAGTTGGGAGATCATGTAGAGAATCTCAGATTTATTGTGGCCCCTGGCATGGAGAGACCCCTCATACTTGGACTGCCCTGGCTTCGTAAATGGAACCCACGGGTAAATTGGAAAACGGGTCCTGCGCATCTGCACTGCAAAACCAAATCCAGAGAAGGAAAGCTCACCCCTGAAGGACGGTACAAACCCGGAAAGAGCGGAAGTAGCAATAGACTATATTGAGGGACAGGAGAAAATTCCAAAGGAATATTGGGATCTCCGTGAAGTTTTTAGCGAAAAGGCCTCAGACATGCTGTCTCCCCACCGGGCTACCGACTGCACCCGGGGTGAAGCTTCCCAAACCGAAAATCTACCCCATGACCCCTCGAGAATTAGGGGAATTGCAGAATTTTATTGACAAAAATCTAGAACGGGGTTTCATCGAACGAGCCAAGCCCAAGGTGGCGGCACCAGTGATGTTCCGCGAAAAGAAAGATGGCTCCTTCCGTTTGGTGGTTGATTATAGAAATATTAACGCTATTTGCATGGAAAATGTTTACCCCCCTCCCCTTCATGAAGGACATGTTAGCCCACTTAGGGAAGGGAAAAATTTTCACCAAACTTGATTTAAGAGAGGCGTACTACCGAGTGAGAATTAAAGAGGGGGATGAATGGAAAACAGCATTTAATTGCCCACTGGGATGTTTCCAGTCCAGAGTGCTTCCTTTCGGCTTACAGGGAGCCCCTGCTGTATTCATGCAATTGATCAACGAAATATTGCATGAGCACCTGTATAAGGGGGTGCTGGTCTACTTGGATGACATTCTTATCTACTCTGACAACATGGCCGACCATGTGAAACTGGTGCGAACTGTCTTGAAAAAACTCAGGGCTTCTGAACTATCTGCCAAACTTTCTAAATGTGAGTTTCACCAAGACAAAATCGACTATCTTGGATATCGCATATCACATGAGGGAATAGAGATGGACCCTGAGAAGGTTCGAGCAGTATGGAATGGGCCGCGCCATGCACTCGCAAACAACTACAGAGTTTCCTGGGGTTTGCTAACTTTTATAGACAGTTCAACCCCTCGTTTGCTAAAATCGCGCTGCCAATTACAAATCTTCTGAAAACAAAAGGTGAAATAAAACCAAGACCATCGAAACCACTTGAATGGACTATGGACTGTCAAGCCGCATTCGAAAAGTTGAAATGGCTGTTTGCGGCTGAACCAGTACTCAAACACCCCGACATAGAACAGCCGTTTGTAGTACAGGCTGATGTGAGCGACGTAGCTGTAGGAGCAATACTCTTGCAAAAAAAATGCAAAAGGGGAGCTGCAGCTTTGTGCCTACACGTCCCGTAAACTATCAGAAACGGAAAGGAGATGGGCCAAATGGGAGAAGGAGGCTTTCGCAGTGAGATGGACGCTGTTAACATGGAGACATTTTTTAGAAGGAGCGAAACACCCTTTTGAGGTTTGGACTGATCACAAAAACTTGGAGGCATTAAAAACACCACGTAAACTGTCCCCAAAACAAATTCGTTGGGCCCAACATTTCAATCGTTTCAATTTTACCCTACGCTACCTTCCTGGTGGAAAGAACTTCATGGCAGACGCACTGTCCAGATTGCCTCAGTACAACAGCATCAAGAAGGAGGTGGTTCAGCCTATTATCCCTTCAACACAATTGGCAGCACCAGTTACTACCAGAGCACAGGCAAAGGTCGAGCCAGAGCTCTCAGAAGATTTGGTTCTCAAATTACGAGAAGCCCTGAAAACTGACGAGTGGTTTCACAACTACTCGAATGAAAGTACACTCCGTGATGGACTAGCGTGGACTGGGGCAAAATTGTTATGTTCCTGCCAGTTTAAGACCAACAGTATTACAGTATGCCCATGACGCTAAGACAGCGGGACACTTTGCATTTGTTAAAACTCTACACCTTGTTAAGAGATAGTTTTGGTGGCCTGCGCTCAAAAAGGACATAGAGGCATATGTGGCTAGCTGTCCAGTATGTGTGCCTCGGCTAAAAGACCTCCAGGGAAGCCACCTGGATTACTTCAAAGTGTGGCTAGATCGAATGCTCCGTGGAAAGAAATATCCATGGATTTTACTGTGGACCTACCAGAGAGTGAAGGGTGTACTGTCATTTGGGTGGTGACGGATTTGTTTTCAAAACAAGTGCATTTCATCCCTTGTTCAAAGATCCCTTCAGCAAAAACCCTTGCCAAACTGTTTATTCGTCAAATTTACTGATTACATGGAGCTCCAAAGAGAATAATTTCGGACAGAGGTGTACAATTTACTTCCAGCTTCTGGAAGGAATTTTTGAAGTTGATAGGCTCCGCCCAGGGACTAAGTTCCAGTCACCACCCCCAAACAAATGGGGCTTGTGAAAGGACCAATGGGGTTTTAGAACAATACCTGAGATGTTACGTAAATTACCAACAAGACAATTGGGTGGATTTACTGCCATTTGCAGAAGTGGCATATAATAATTCCATACACAGTAGCACCGGTTTCACTCCATTTAAGGTACCATCGGGCCAAGATTTCGTACCGATCCCCGAACTACCTCAAGATGATCCCCAGAACCCATCCTTGATTGACTGGATTGAACAATTGAGGAGCACTTGGACAGTAACTCGAAAAGCATTAGATGAGGCGCACCGAACCCATAAGGCCCAGGCCGATAAGAAAAGGTCCCCAGCACATGTGTATAAAGTGGGTGATAAGGTTTACCTCTCCACTAAGTACTTACAAACTTCCCAAAAGTCTAAAAAACTTGGTCCCAAGTATGTGGGTCCTTTTCGTGTGATTAGATTGATTAATCCAGTAACAGTTGAATTAGAGTTGCCAAAAATGTTGAGACGAATACACCCCGTATTTCATGTTAGCTTGTTGAAGCCTGAACACTCGTCTCCTCTAAGACCGACCCAAAGCTCCCCTCCAGTTCCCATACTCATAGAGGGGGAGCAACATTTTGAAGTTAAGGAAATTTGGAAAGAGAGCAAGAATCAACAAAAATGCTACAAAATGCAAGAACTAGAGGTGGGTTTGGCCTTCCGAATTGGGAATTGTATTATCAAGTGGCAGCATTAACGTGGATTAAAGAATAGATTTCATTAAGGAATATAAGACTATTGACATTGGAGGTCATGATTTACAACTGGGTTGACATGCCTTTTTATGGTACAGGAAACAACATGGATATTTCCAAAGACATTATGTAAGAAATGGTTATCAGCATGGGAGAGAGTGAAAACAAAACATTATCTGAATATACCAATGTGGCTTTCTACAATAGCAGTGACATACCCAAATATTGTGAATATGGGGAATATTGTTAGATATTACATCTTGACAGATCAGGGAGAACAGAAACAAAAAGTTCATGTGATCTTGATACCGTCTATTAATGCAGCTTAGACTACGTTGACTTTTTTGGCAGCTGCAGGACACTGCTGGTGGTTGTCCACTAGGACTCCAACATCCCTCTCACGGTTACGGGTCATTCCATGTCAAGTGGTCTGATTTCAGCTCGACCATCACAGATTTCGATTAAATTTGGTGTGAACATGCACACACGTCCCCAATGTACATTGGTAAAGTGTTATGTTTGCCAATGCAATACTTGCGAAGATATAGTCATTTGTTTGACCCCATACCTCAGCCTTCTACAGTATGACTCTGAGGTTTCAGCAGCTTTGAAACATAATATCTCCGGCAATATTTTGTTGAGAGAAACAAAACTTGGCCATCTTGTACAACTTGTTGTGCTCTATTAAACAAAATAATAAAAACATTCTCACGAGCGATCTCCATCTAGATAATTTGGAGCAAAATTGGCTGAAAATGACTGCGGCGCGAAAAAAGGGTAAAGTTTGGCGTCTTATATCTCTGGAAGGAAAGGTATGAGAAATGTGAAATTTCATAATAACTTAGCAACTCAAGGTTCTCGAATACAACATTTTATTCTCCTACTGCTTTTCAATAGTTCACAAATTGAGTGTAAAGGTGACAGTTTTTGTAAAAACGCCAGTTCCTAAAGATTGGTCACCCCCCGCTCCCCCCTTCAGCTTTAGTTTAAAGCCCTTTGGATAAGCTGAGCCAAAGTTTCCCAAATACATTCTTTTCAGTTCTTGTGCAGCCCATCCCCTGCCAGACCATTCGTCTCCACATGGAAGAGAAGAAAGGGATAACAGACTGTGGGCTTGATTATTTTTAAGGCTCTCAGTCACATCTTTGATTTCACTCCTGGGAGACAAGATCCTTCCCTAGATTTATTGTCAGTCTACAAATTGCTGATTCCGTTTCTCAGAAGAATCTCCTATCATCAACATACGCTGGGGGGGGGCGGGGGGCGTGAAGTCTGAGCTACTTTTCTTGCTATCACTGGAAAACGTGGTGATGTCCCTTCTCCAGCTGTCTTCCAGGAAAGGATATGAAATTGGCTGCTCAGCTCCAGCAAGACTGGACTGGATTGGGCTGTTCCAGGCAGCAGGGACAGCCCTCTCTAAGTGACATGTTGCTATCGGTCTATCTCTAAAAGTTTATGAACAGGTTGATTTCTTCTGGTAACTGCCATTCAGCAGTTCAGCAAATGCATGAAAAGACACTCTGCTGCCACAATTTTGGAAAATGCTGAGCCTTCTTATAAAACTACTGAAACTACAATCCATGAATTGCTTTGCATGTAGTGTCTCTCTTTGGAATTCACTTCCAACTAGCAAAGAAGGATGAAGCCTTTGGTCATTGCAATTTTGTACTCGGAAACTGAAGCCTCAACTCCTGAGCATTTTTTTCAATACCTAGTTCCAAAACTGATTAAAATCTATAACAAAGGCACCGGAGCAATCTAACAAAATGAACTCCAATGAACCAAATGCAATGTGATTGCTATTGTTCTGCAGTCCTTGTTTAGCAGCCATATGTAACGCAAGTGATGGAAAAGTAACTTTATGGCCAATCCTCACATTTTCAACCCTTGCATGTCTGCAAAGCAAAGGAAAGCTGAAGAAAGATTGTAAATACAGTCATAGTTTCAATAGTCAGCAATTGTCTCTGAAGCGATTAATGACCAGGTTTGTATGATTAATGACTTAAATGTGGTTGCTAAATGAGGACTATCATCAGCAGGGCACCCAACTCACCTTCCATGATGGAGATGTGGACAGCTCTCCTCCTGGTCCTGGGAACACTGCTGAGCCGGGGTCCGTGGGGGATGGAGGGGCAGCTACGGCTGGGAACCAGTCCAGCCCTGCGAAAGAAAGGAAGGACAGAGGCAGCATTCTCTTCCCATCACAAGGGCTGGCTCCAGCTATTCCCACCACTCCTGTCTTCTTCCTGCTCATGGTGGCTCTTTGACCCTTTCGCTCCTCCATAGCTGCCTTACCTGTGTATTTCCGGAGGCTCCCTCTTAATTTTGGCACTAGACTCCATAACCTCTTTGGCAACTCGGCCGCTGAAAGAGATTGGAGAGCAGAGCAGGTGACAAGCATGGCAAATGCCCAGACCGAGATTCTGATGGCAAACTCCCCCCCCCAACCCTAAAAGTTGGGAGCATGGCAGTGCTTCTCCATCCTGCAGCATCACTCGAAGCTATTACTTAATCCCTGGTAATAACCAGATTGGATACCTGGAAAGGTTTTGAGTGGGTGCCTAGCTTGGCAAGAGTACCTGGGCAGCCTTCCTGTTGTGAAAGAGCTAAGTGGCGGTGGCTGTGTGTGGCATTGGGAAGGGGGACCCCAGAAATGCCAGGACTGAACGGGTCAACTCAGAGGAGACTTTGCCTTTGTACTATCGCCTCCCTTAATCGATTCTCAGGCTTCATGCAACCAGGTGTGTGCCAACACAGGTCCAGCAACAGCCGCCTACAGTCATAATTTACCTGTATCGGAAGCGGCTCCCTTTGAAAAATAAGTTGCTGCTGGAGACGGTGCGAACTTGACTGGACTTCTCCAACCTGAAGCAAGAAGCAGAGGTGGGAACAGGGATCGAATAACAGCACTCGGTCAACAGTTGCTGGGCTTTGGAAAGGGCTGCGATGGGAGGGGGCGTTTTGGAAGCTTATCATTTCCACGTGCTGAAAACGAGATCTGACACAAAGAAAGATGCCCCTGGGGGAGCCACCACCTTGGGCACTACTAATGGCCACCAAGCAGAGAGGATGGTGTCTCCTGCGGGAACTGGCGCCTGTACATCGGCACAGCTCAGAAGCGCAAGGGAAAGTGTGGCCAGCTTTGAGGCTTTTCCAATACCTGTTATGGACATGTGGCTGCCTTGCCCTGAAAGGTTAAGAACCGTTTAAAACCCTTATGAGGTTAAGAACCGTTTAAAAAGCTCAAGGTGTCTGAGCTTTAGGCTTTGGGCCTCCGTTTGAACTTTCATGTGTAGTTTCTGAGAGCTGCTTAGCAAGATTGGAAGAGAACTGAGTTTTCTTAATATTAAAATTGAATTTTGGTGAGGAAACATGGAAGTGCAAGTAGCATTCTAAAAAGAGCCCAGGTAGAGAAGCTTTTCTCTCCTTGAGAGTGTGGAACAGCCCTTCAAGGTGGGCCAAGTCAAAACACAGACTCCACAAGGATGCTCCACTATTGAGACAGGATCTCTAAAGCCCAGCTGTGTTTCCCCTTCCTTCCCTTTTACGCCAACAAAAGTTAAAGTGGAACCAGAATTTGTTTTTCTTCCCAGGCTGAACTCCTATCATGTTCCTCCTCTGGCTTCCTCTATCCCACTTGGCTCAGTCGTCCTTCAAAAATCATCACTGCCTGCTGTCAGAACTGCCATCTTCAACTTCAGCCTTGCTTTGCTAGATGCTAGCCTACCATAGACTATGGGGGGAGGGAGCTACTGAAAAGGGGGTGACTGAAACTACGCATTGTGCCTTCCCGAGACATCAGCTCATCGTCCCAAAGCCAGAGGGGAATGCAACGGCTCACCATCTAGCCCACCGATGGAGGGAGCGATACCAAGACAATTCCTTTGAATGTGACTGGACAATAGGGAGATAATGGGAAAGGGAAAGTTAACTGGGGAACCTTTGCATGCAATCCTTTAGCTCTGATTTACTGTAATTCACTTGGCTTCTAATAATTTTTTTCCTTTTGCAACAAAAGGAGCTATTTCTTTGTTTCTACTTGGGGGTCCATCTCCTCACCACGCAGAGCAGAGAATGCCAAAGGTCAGCGCCAGGGGTGAAATCCAGCAGGTTCTGACAGGTTCTGGAGAACCGGTAGTGGAAATTTTGAGTTCGGAGAACTGGCAAATACCACCTCTGGCTGGCCCCAGAGTGGGGAGGGAATGGACATTTTGCAATATCCTTCCCCCAGGAGTGGGGTGGGAATGGGGATTTTGCAATATCCTTCTGCCACGCCCACCAAGCCACGCCCAAAGAACCGGTAGTAAAAAAAATTGAATTTCACCACTTGTCAACACCTTGGTTAGTGGGGCCAGCCACAAGTTCCCAGATCCTCTGAGCTAATTTGAGGGAATCCATTTCATAGCTGAATTTAGGTTAGTACTGATCAGACTATCTAGTTGAGATTTATTTGAATTAACAGAATCAGAGACTATCCAATTTTGGTATCTACAGCAATATCTGGAAAAGCTGCACATTAAATGCAATGTTAATGTGTTATTTTGGCAAGCATGCAAGACTACTCAGGATTTGGTTGGTGCACATGTACAATATTTGGTATGGATCTGTACAAATTGATTTAGAAAAATTAAAAGATGTACTTTGGTATGTGGCATTGGCTCTTAAAACTAAGGCAGAAATAACTATCACCCAGGGGTGAAATCCAGCAGGTTCTGACAGGTTCTGGAGAACTGGTAGCGGAAATTTTGAGCAGTTCGGAGGACTGGCAAATACCACCTCTGGCTGGCCCCAGAGTGGGGTGGGAATGGAGATTTTGCAGTATCCTTCCCCTGCCACTCCCACCAAGCAACACCCACAGAACCGGTAGTAAAAAAAATTGGATTTCACCACTGATATCACCTCTTCCAGGACATGCATCAATCCCAAGCAATTATTTTGGCCACTTTTCAGCCGCTCCTTAAAAAGCCCAGAGGATCTGTCTAAACAATGCAGCCCCTGCTTTCCCTCTTAGCATAAGGAAAAGGAGGCTGCCTGAATGCAAGATTTCCAAACAGGTCCAGGCAGCACACAGAGCCAAAGGAAATTTGTGTGATACAAAAGACAAGATGACTTGGGACATGGACAGGAGACGCTTATGGACAGCAGATGCTCTTCATGAAAAATTCTTTCTCACAGATGCTTTAACTTCTCAGGCTTCTGAGCTTTGTCTGGGAGACAGGAAGAATTCCCAGGCAGAAGCCAGAGGGATCACCAACCCAATTAGGTGCCCATTTACAGGGCAAGATGTGTCTGCAGCAGAGAAACCAACCCTGGACCAGGTTTCTGCAGGAAACGTCACCGCCACTTTGGGCTGAGCGGACAGGCTCTGCATTGGCAACGGCTGCTTCCCAAAGATCGAAAGCCATCCTGGAAAATAGATCTTCTACTCACTTATAAAAGGCTTGATTTTCAATCCCACATTTCCAGAGATGCTTGCAGGCTTCAGGAGTCGGAGCAAAATAGGTCAGGACAATTTTCTTTTCCTGTCAAAATCCCAGAAAAATCCTTATGGTTAATTTACAGGTGGTCTTGATACTGTTTGAAAGAAAGCATGCAAAATATAATTGAAGTAACAAAAACATGGATGGTTTAGATCCAGCTCTGAAATAGGCCGGAACAGGAAACCAACTCTACACTCCCAGTGTGTCTAAAACTGCTTTTATTAAGGTGGGCTCTCAGAACAGAATTTTGCCACTCTGGTTGTAAGGTCCCTCCTCCTCGATGTTCTGGTCCAGTGAATTGGGGAGGAGCCTGAACCATTTCCAAATGTTATCTGGGCATTCTAGACTTAACAATTATTTCAGTCCCTTTTGCCTAGGACTCGGGTATCCTGCATAGCATCCTTCATCTTCATCTTCCCTATTCTCTGCTTCTCTGCTTCCTTCTCCCTTCTCTGCTTTTTTATGTGTTGCGATGCATATTAAACAGGGCAGGTGGCCACCATCTTGGCTTTTTGACACAGCAGACACCTTCACTTGGTGTCTCTCTTGGGACACCAAGAGCTCCCAACCAGAGTCTGGAAAAGCAGGCATCATTTGAGTAACTGAACTGGGCATCCTGTCCTACACCCCAATGTTTGTTTATCTCCCCACCCAGCACTGCCCTGAACTCCTGATTCCTCTGCCCCCCCCCCCACCTTTGGGAAAACGAAGTGAGAGGTGCAGAGTGTCTGCGGGGGGTGGGTGGGGGTGTTGATCCTGGAATGTGGTGGTGAAGAGGATAAGCTATTCCCTCCGTCTGGCAATAAGTGCAGCCCTTCAAATCCCAAAGATGGAAGATTTTCCAGTCCGGATTCAGCCTCAGCCTCCCCCCCACATGGAGTTGGGGGGACAGAACCCCCTCCATGTACTCAAGTCCCATGAGCTCTGTGCCTGGCCTGTGACTCTCCTTGCAAGGAGGAGAAGGCTGCTCTGAGGGGCCAACAATTAGGAGGGTCCCGGTATTTGTTCAGGGGGTGGTCTGCAAGTCTTGAGAGCTTTTTCTCCAGCCAGAGAAGATGCTCAACATTCAACAAACCCAAGTGGGTGGCTCCATCCACACTGGCTCCATCCCTTTTGACCAGCATTAGTCATTGATCAAGTCTGAGCTGGATTCCTCTGGGGTTCAATGGAGCCTAGAACCAAGGAAGCTCTGCTAGTCCATTTGGAAACATCCCAGTTTCTCGGCCTGACGGTTGCTTTAATAAGGTAATACAGAGTTTAACCTGGATCCAGACAACTTCTTGAGATCTCGTGGGTGATCTGCAGGCAGAGATACCCCTGGATTTGTTTGATCTCATTAAGCAGATCCCTTTGGAAGGCACTCACCTCTTTCTGACTTACATATAAATAGAACGTCTTGCCTTCAAATTTCATTTTGGCCACTTCATTCCTGCAAGCGAGAGAGAAGCACTTCCATGAAAGAGGAAACCGTCTCAAACCCTCCTGCATCGCATGACAAGGTCAGGCCCACACACAGCGTGGAACAGGCTCTGGCAAAATGCAGAGATTTTTAAATCAAGCTGCATAAAACACGAAGTTAAACGAAACTTCTTTTGGAAAAGGAGAGCAGTTGCAGATCTAAGCTGAACATTTATGGCTCGGGGCAGGGGTCTCCGGCTGAAAACAGCAGTGGGCAGCAGCACCTGGCAGCCTGGCAGATTTGAAGGAGCAGGTTGAATGGAGAGAGCCACGCTTGGCTGATGTGGCCGGAGGAAGAACTACCCGGTGACCAGGCCAGGTGAGGGGCTTTTTAGGTGGCTGTGCCGAGAACATGGACAATGCAGACAAATGGACAAAAGGAATATCTGGAGGCACAAACTGAATATTGAGGGCACAGATTACATGGAACAGTCATGCAGTGTACTGACCAGGAAAGGGGTTTAGGGGATATTGTAGAAAAATCCGTGAAACTCAGGATGGAGCTGCAGTTAAAAGGGCAAACAGGATACTGGGGCATATCAACAACGGGCTACAAGACAAAGCAAGAGAAATGACACTAACTACGCATCACATGGACCAGTTCACCACCAGATTGTTCCCAGGGGAAGAGGTGGCCCTTAGCCAGGTCCTGCCAAAGGAAGTACCTACCCCAGCAGCACAGCCCCGCCTCCCCCCTCCCCGCGAGGGCCTCTGTCTGTCCTCAGCAGCAGAGATCCAGGACAGCCCTTCCCCCAGCGGCTCAGATCTGTTTCCCTCCCTCTAATGGAGGAAGCCTAGTTCAGATTTGGGTTGAAAACTTTGGATTCCTTCTTTCAGAAAGTCAGTCCTTTCAAGGTCGGTGGCCGACCTTGGATCTCTCTTGGCGCAGTGATGCCTGCTGGTGGCAGCCATGGGCAGTCCAGTGGCCCCTTCTTAGCCTGCCAGGCATTTCAGGTCTTGCTGGCCTCCTGTTCAAGTGCAGAAATGCCAGCTATTTCCCAGAGCAGACTTTGCACACACCGAAGGGGGCAGCTTCTCCTGTCTCTTCTTCCTGCACCTGGGAAAATTATGCCTCCTTTTTTGTGGCTGTGGGAATTTTTCTCTGGGTAAAAAGACACTGCAGCGCAAGGCCAGAGGTTTCGAACTCTTTACTGCCTGCTAGGCTTCTAGTCAGCTCTGCTGACTCTTGTCTACACACTCAGGGAGTGACTTGGTTGGGCGTCACAATCTCTCAGTCTGGGTTTGCACCTGCACAAAGAATTCTCCAGAATGTCTCACTTTCCAGAACTGACACTGTCTGGGCTTCCCAGCCTGCCAGCTTCCTTCCTTGACCCAGAGCAAGGCAGAGGCTTGGAGCCCCGCCTCAGGAGGGAAGACACAGAATCCCTTTGGTATCACAAGGCCCTTTTTTCCCCTCCTAAAATTGGGAGGCCTGGCCGGATGGAAATCACAGACTGAAGGATTCCAGGCTGACCTGGGAGACAGAAACATTCCACATCCGATAGCTGAGGGAGAGGGTAGCTTTCTGCCCCTTTTATCAATTCAAGGGCCAGGTTTTGATCCCAGAAGCAGAGGCTGCTTGGCAAAGGCTGGTGCCAGTCTGCCATTTCTTTTTCTACGCTGTCTAAGGAGCAGATGAAGGCCAACAGGGATGTGCTCAGTTGCAAAGAAGATCCTCAAAGAAGCAAAGGAAGATTGCACTTTGCTCTTAAGGAATCAAAAGTAAAAATGCTAACATGATTTGGTGTGCAACTGAGTTGATGGAATTCTGGAAGGAGTAGTTTAAGAGGTTTGTATGGGGATGTTAATGATATACAGAACATGTCACTTAATGTTAATGCTGTAATGCTAATACAGATAATCCTCCACTTACAACAGTTCGCTTAGTGATGGTTCAAAGTTACAACAGCACGGGAAAAAAGTGATTTATGACCATTTTTCACCATTGCAACATCCCCAGGGTCACATTACTTGCATTCGGATGCTTGATAATTGACTCATATTTATGACAGTTTGCAGTATCCAGGGATCATGTGATCCCCTTTTGATCACCTGACAAGCAAAGTCAATGGGGAAGCCAGATTCAGTTAACAATTGTGTTGCTAATTGAATAACTGCAGTGATTACTTAACATAGGCATGTGGCAATAAAAGTCATAAAATGGGGCAAAACTCACTTAACCAATTTCTCACTTAGCAACATAAAGTTTGGGCTCAATTGTGGTCATAACTGAGGACTACCTGTATCAGTATTCAAGAAACATGAACAAGAAGCAAGAAATAGTAGAAAGTGGATAAGTTGAAAGGCTACAGGGGCAGATGACATAACTAGAAGAACCTTGAAATGTTGATGTAGTTTACTTATGTGCAACTTGTTTAATGTTTAACACATTTGTGACTGTCCAATTGTGCCCTTTACAAAAGGAAAGCCAGTAAGGGTGAATGCAGAAACTACAGGGGGGTTAATTTGTTAAGTGGGAAGGAGCTGACTGAATTCTGAGAAAAAGGCATCAATGAGCAAAACCTATTAAGTACAGGGTAGATTTAGCACAGTTGTTGAAAGTATTTATGGATGCATGTATGGGAGGAGATTACATGATGTGGGTTGGAAATATGAAATGTTCATGGACTTTTGCTTGCAGATGAGGCTGTTTTGCTGATTAAGAATCGGAATTATTCCCAGCAGACTTTGGGCTATGTAATGAGATAAGGATTGTGGATCTGAAAATTAATATATTAAAGTCCAAGGCAGTTTCAGAGTGGAGATTTGGAAAGTTATATATACATGGCAGAAATGCTTCAGTACAGTATATACTGATGATGCGAAAATAAGAAATTTTAAGATATGAAATGCCTATTGCAAAATGGTGGGCAGTGTGTGGTTGCTGCAAGGGAGGGGCATCAAGAAAAGTGGAAATGGCTGCCTAAATTGAATGCAGAAAGAACGGAGAGAGCATAGCAAAAACCAGAAGTGTTAAAGGAATACAAAAGGGAATAATCCATACCAAGGAAGTAAAGGGAGATGGGGAATTGGAGGTGCTGAGGTAATGGATGATCTTAGCTTTTTTATTGACACTTTTCAATGGTGCATAAATACGGTTTATTTCTCTGGGCCGATTGAGAGCCGATTTCTCTGAATGCCAGTTTTGGATTTAACTTGGATTGAGCTGTGAGCTAAGATGATTACAGTTTCCCAGTTGCAACTAAAGTTGAATCTGTCCCTGTGTTGTGACACGAAGGAGTTTTCATCGACACCAACTAGCAGTCAGAAAACTCCTTCATCTCACACCATATAGACAGACTCAACCATACTTTCAGACAAATCAGACATCAATAGACATATGTTAACAAAGAGAGATTATCTGTGATGTATAAAGTCTCTAACTACTGTTGAAAATGTGAAGAGTATGAAAGGACATGTTTACCATGTGAACTTGTGAAAAAGCAAAAAAAATAAATAAATACTGGATGCAAATACAAAATGCAGACAATTTTAAAAATTAATATTTAGTGGAAACTCAAATTTTCCTCATTGGGACTGATAGAGAGCCAATTAGAAAAGACTCGGGGAAGATTAACTGCAATAAGGCTATTATGTGCACCAAGATGGGGAAAAGGCAGACTAAAAGGAAGAGAGGATCGTAAAGATGGAGAAATGCGGAAATGGCTAAATTGACTTCTTTGGTTAGAGAAGGAGTCACGGCTACATTTACCAAAGGCTGGAAACCCTTTATAGACTTTTCACTGAAAATGTATGAAAATGAACTGGTGATTAAGACGGGCTTTATATGGGAAGAAGGGAAGGGCATCCAGACAAGACCATCTCTCTCTATAACTGCTGCAAAGACAATCAAAAGTCAATTCTTTAAATCTTTCTTTCTCTTTCTCTCTTTTTCTTTCTTTCTTTCTTTTCCTTCCTTCCTTCCTTCCTTCCTTCCTTCCTTCCTTCCTTCCTTCCTTCCTTTTTAAATCAATAGTGTTCACTTTTTCTGTTTTTTTCTTTCCTATCTTTTTATATCTTTTCCATATATATATAACTTTTCTGTACTGTTTGATTTTGTAAACTACTTTTTCAAACAAACAAAAAGGCAAGGAAATAATGAAGTCTGCCCTGGAGGGTGAGGCCAAGCCGAGGAGGGAAGGGGGGTCAGGCAAGATCAGGCACCAAAGCTCCTTGCTTTCCAATAGAGGTGTGTGGGGCGGGGGAGGGGGGGAGGCTGCCATTGTGGCAGAGGCCACAAACAGGCATCGGGAGGGGCTGGAGGGGGAGCTGATGATGTCACTCTATTTGGGAAGGCCTCCGTTCCTCCTGTGTAACTATAGGAACAGGTTTTAGGCGCAGAACTCACCATTTGATGAAGTGAACTCGCTTGTTTCCCTGCAGGACCACAAATCCAAACGGGGTGAAGGCCAGAAAAGCAGCATTTCCGGACACGTCCTGCAACAGACCAGGAGCTGCTCACCGAGCAATGCCATGGTTGAAGGCAAACTCAGCACGTGGTGGAGCTGGCCATAGTGCAGCCTCTTTGGCCACCAGGACTCTGACCTGGATGCCTGTGTTGAACAGCGAGGCTCCGCAGCTCTCGAACCCTGGACATCGCTCCCCTCCCACTTGGGGAGGCAGCTGCCCGGAGCTTCCGGGAGCCCATCCAGCATTCGGCCGTTGATCCAGAGGGGCCTCTTGCATGCCCTGCCTGGAGGCATCAGAGCCCTCTTCTTCAAGCCACCTGCACTGCTTTATTTCTGGGTAGGGCCAGCATGCGTGGCTGCAGGTATGAAGCCATACGTGGGCCCGGAAAAAGGGACTGTCAGCCCTTCAAGGTAGAGCAGACAGGGAGACCAAAGTCACACATGCAAACGTTACTTTTCTTTAAGGTTACAGTAACAGAATCCTCCAAGACTGAATATGTGCCCCCCCTCCCCCCACTTATCTTTTGAGATGCTTTCTCAAATTCCCTTTCTGCCTTGGTCCCAAATTTCTTTTCTCTGAGCATCACCTTGGCTGCTGCCCTTCCTTCTGTTTCTCAAGGTTGCTCCTACTGGGACCTGAGAAAGTGTCCAAAATAACTTTGTACCTTAAAAGTAAATTTCAACTTGAACTGGAAACCATTCTTAGACTAGGATCCAACCGATGGCCTGATAGCACATCTGATGTTTGGGTTCATTTATGCATAGATTCTATATTTTATAAGATACCCAAATTAAAACAAATTCTAATAATACAGACTGAGCTATACCCCCTCTGCAGGGAGGCTGGGGCCATTTGATTGGCCTGCCCCCCCCCCCCCGGTGACTAATGGACCCAATGGGGTTCCAAAGAAAGCTGGGAGAAATCCTGCTGATCTGCGACTTCATCCTGCAGAGGCCCCGGCAGCTGCCTGGAACAGGGAATCTGCTGGGCCCTCAATAGGATCCTGCTTGTGCGGTCTCTCCTGGCCCATCAGCCCCGTTTCTCCACAAGGTTCATGGAGGAGTTGAAAAGACGCCCATTTTCCTCCCACTGGAAGAAAATGAAGAACGAGCTCGACTGAACAGAGTTAAAGCCCCTACTAATGTTCATCTTGTGGTAGGAGGGGTGGCCAAGTGCCACAACTTCTCTGTCCTTATGGCATCCACGGAAAGCCACCCAGCAGCCCTGTTTAGGGTCACTCAGACCCTCCTTGGAAAGGCTGGCCCAGAGATCCATCTACAGGGCCAAGCGGAGAAATTTTCCAGGCACCTGGAGGATGAAATTGTTCAGATTCATTCCCAGTGTGGTGCACGTCCTGTGGAGATGCCCTGGGAACAGACTTACCCAGTTATCTGGGAACGGTTTGGTTCTGTTGAGGAAGTGGACCCTGCAGAATGCAAATGCCAGCACTTGTGTGTTAGCTCTGTGCCCCACTTGGCTGGTTAAGGCTGCCCAGGAGGCATCGTATGGTGGGTCCAAGCAGTGGTGAACTTGTTGGAGAGGGTGATCCCAGCTCTTTTCGGAGAGGCACCATTGCTGGAGTCTCTCCGAAGCAAAGAAGCCATTGCTGGAGCTGACCACTCTGGACAATTTCTGTCCAGTCTCTACATCCTCTTTTTAAGGAAGACAATTGAGAAGTTGGTGGCATTGCAATTACAGGAGATCCTGGAGGAAATGGAAGGTTGGGATCCTTTTCCATCAGGTTTCAGGGCCAGATATGGGACCAAAACTACATTGGCCCACTCTATGGATGGATTCCAGAAGGAGGTGGTACATCCATCCTTGCACTTCTTGACCTCCTGGAAGCTCTCCATGCTATTAACCATGGTATCCTTTTGGGTCACCTTAAGGAGTTGGGTGGCCCAGTTTTGTGATGGTTCACCTCCTTCCTCCAAGGCCGGTCCCAGGAGGTCCAGCTCACAGCCCCTGCTTTGTGTGGGTGCCACAGGGCTCGGGGCTTTCTCTGCTCCTTTTGAACACCTACATGGAACCGCTGGGCGAGACCATCCATCACTACAAAGGAGCAGGCAGTTCCTTTACCTTTGCCAACTAATTTTACGGAGTTTAATTATTCTTGCCTCCTTAAACTTCTTTAAACTTTTAAATTTTATAAAATTGCACCTCTAACTTTTTAATTTTTGTATACTGTTTTATTTTTATTTTTTTTTATTTTTTAAGAACAAAAACAAACATAAAAACATGTTTTATGTTTTGATGCTTTTCCAGAGTCCCTCTTATTCAATATTCAGAAGGAGACGCCGCTGCCTGAAGTGGGCCCCGAAAGCCAAAGAAAGGATTGGGGAAGGTTCATTGGGCACAAAGCCCATCAAGAGGTGGCATCTGGGGTGGCACCGCCTGCTGCAGGAATGCCTGGCTTCAACCCAGAGTCTCCACACTGGGGAGGGTCTGAAAGCAACATGGAGGACAAAACTTTGTTTGACTGGGTTGGGCTGGGCAGGAGTCCACTCAGAGATCCCAGGCAATAAGAAGTTGAAAAAAGGCAGTAGCAAACCAGTTCTCTTCTGCTGCCAAATAAAGGGACAGGAATGTAGCCGTGACGGCTCCAGGAGTCCCTCTCATGCTGAACCCCATGTGACGGGCTGATCCGCGAGCTGCACTGGCTGCCGGTTTGCTTCCGGGTGCACTTCAAAGTGTTGGTCATTACCTTTAAAGCCCTGGAGGGGATGGGTCCAGTTCCCTGAGGAGCCATCTCATCCCAATGGGACAGGCCTGTCCCACCCGCACTGGCAGAGGAGGCACACTATGGGGCCTTTCCTGCCGTGGCTCCTGCCCTTTGGAGCATTTGCCCCCACATACAGACCCCTCGGGGTCAGATCTGCTCCCACCCCCCTGACCTTCCATAAAGGCTCAAAAACCTGTCTCTGCCAGTTGGTTTGGGGGCCCCATGAGGAGTATCACGCTGGAGGTGGTTGGTGGACTAATGACAGATCCCACCTCACTCCCTACACGCCCCTCCTCCCTCCCCAACTTTTTACCAGAATTTATAATTTTATTGTTACTGGGTGTGTCTGTGTGCAGTGTGCATGTGCATAGTTTTATTGCTTTTGACCTTGTAAGCTCGCATTGTGGCAAACTGGGTGGCAAATAGATTTAATAAATAAGTAAATAAATAAACTTCATCGTTGATTTGGAACACAAACCATAAGGCAGCAGCCTGAGGACTTGTCCTTGGTAACTGCTGAGGTCTCTGCCATAGTTGGGTTGAGTGGTTGTCCCCTGCCAGCTGCTGGATGGAAGGCAAAGCAGAGGGGGAAAGAGAGGGGGAGAGAGAGAAAGAGGAAGGAAGGAAGGAAGGAAGAAAAAGAAAGAGAGAGGAAGGAAGGAAGGAAGGAAGGAAGGAAGGAAGAAAAAGAGAGAGGAAGGAAGGAAGGAAGGAAGAAAAAGAAAAAGAGAGAGGAAGGAAGGAAGGAAGGAAGAAAAAGAAAGAGAGAGAGGAAGGAAGGAAGGAAGGAAGGGCTGCCTAGCATTTTCACAGTTGGATCCTGCCCAAGTCTGAGTTTCAAGTAATCAGTGCTCACCAGCCTTAAATTATGGTTGTGTTGCATAAATTATATGTTTAAGTAAGTGGTTTGAAAATTGGAACGAATGAAGACAATGCCAAAGACGACAACAATTAAGGCCCAGAATGAGGCCTCGCTGTAGTAGAAGTGTCTGCCCCTCATCCCTGCCCTCCATTTTGGGAAGGAAGGATTTTGCCACCCACCGCACCCGCATCCCTTTCTCATCACAGAGTTCTTAAACTCCTATTTTATTTCTAAGTGTGGGCTGCGTTATTCCATGGCAAGGGAACTGCCACTTGCCATGCAAAGCAACGGTCCAGCAGGCAGGAATCCCATTGGGAGAGATGGCTCTGGGCATGTGACATAGGTAGCTCTCTGAACCGGGAGCTGCTGTGTGGCACACAAGGAAGCCTCACATCACCAAGGTGCAGGTTGTCCTTCCTGACATTGACTTAAATATTAAAGACACCGCAAGAGTCAATCCAGCTGATCTGACAAATATCTTTCTGCTGCAGATCCTCCTTAAACTGCTTTTGCTGCAGAATTTTCTTTCAAATGTTTTGATTTGCTGTTAGCATTTAAATGCAGCTGTGTCCATTTCTCTCTACTCACTTTTAACAAAGGGGGAGGTGGCAGTGTTGCTTCCGGACCCCAGCAGATTGCTGTCAATCAGCAATTTAAATCTGGCTCAACAGGGGAGCCCTACAAAACCAGTGGGGCAGCAGGAAAGGGTGAAGGTGTGCTGGGGGGGGGGGCAGTGTGGAGAGGACGTCAGGGGCTGCCTGTCTTCCACGGCTATTTAATAACCCTTTCAGGGGGGATTCGGCCTCTCCCAGGAGGAGGACTTCGTGGCCGATGCCATGGCTGGCAAGGGCAACCACTGCCCCATTAATTGCTGCCCGTAAATGCCCAGGCCCTCAGTGCAGAAGAAGGAAGGTGGCTGCAGTCAGGGAGAGGATGGGGGCCCACTGTGTACCTTGCAGGGATGTGGGTCCACTCCATACGTCTCCAAGGTCTGCGCTTTCCTGAGAAAGTTCAGCTCTGCTGTCGCGGGGGTCTGCCCACTGGAAGAGAAGAGGGGGAAGGGCATCAGCAGCTCTAAGCCCCGCCTGAAAAGGGCAGTGGGGCAGCCTGGCTGCAGGCCCCGAGCAGAGCCACCACAGCTTGGCTGCCTTTGAAAGCCGCAACTACACAAGGGTGTGCATGGGGAGAGGCACCGGCAGACAGGGGCTCTGCCACCTGGGGCCCAGGGAAGCAGCCCGGTGGCACTTCAGCAGCTCTGTGGGCAGCTTGTTTTATGCTGATGCCAACTTTGTGTGCCTAATTTGGTGGTATTGATGGTTTCATTTTACATTATTCATTGGTCCTGCTTTCCTAGCCGAGCGAGAGAGCTGTCAGGGTGAAAGGCGACCTTAAATATTCTGACAAAATGCTAATACAGTAAATAGCTAGAAGTGCTTAAATATGTGATTTCTTAAGATGCTTCTTGAATCATGTGAAATGCAACCTTCTTGCACAGTAATATAACACAACAGATAACAACGCAGTGGAGAGAAGGAAGATGGGGAGGAGGAGGAGGAGGAGGAGGAGGAGGAGGAGGAGGAGGACGTCCCAATCCTCTCGCATCTGCCTGAGCAAACTGGGGGAGCGATTTTCCCCAGCAGGGAGGGACTTGGAAGGCAGAATGTCACCTGCCAAATGGGGTAATACTTAAGAGATCTTCAGGCCCAGCTTGGCTGAATTGTTGCAAACTAATTCTTAAATTTTCAGTGCAATGTAATGAAAACTGCAATGTAATATTGGAATTATATGGTATTAAATTGCACTATGGCTGAATTTGCACCTGCTGGACCAGGCCATTTGTATTTCAAAGGGGCTGTTTCTCCCCAGGTGTTCTCCTTAGCTGGCTTTTCCCCACCCCACAGATGCTTCCACCCATTCACCAGTCTTGCCCTGTTCTGTGTTCTCCTTCCCTGGATCAAGCGATGCCCGGAAGTGATACATAGCGGCTCTGCCTTTTATTAGTTAGACCATCTTCTGGCCTGACCCCAGAAGTGTTACAGAGCTAAAGTAAGCCTTGGTTTTAGCCGCTCCTTGTTCTAGGGATGTCCTCATTGTCATTGGCCATTGGCATCCTTCAGTCTCAAGAGACTCTGGTATCGTGCTCTGGAAAGAGGTCCTAAAACAGCATCTAGTGTGACTGAAAAGGCCAATTCAAGAGTGGCAATCAATCCCTTCCACACTGAGGGCAGATTCATTCTGTCCCCTGCCCAGCCCCAGATTTCACTGGTTCCGGGACTGCCTCTTTGCCTCAGCCTGCCGAGCAAGTGTCTCTTCGAATCGGAGAAGGCCTTGCTGCGTCTTTAGCCTCCAAGCTGAACAATCGGAGGTCAAGGTTTCCCAGTTGTTAATGTCCATTCCCAGGGCCTCTAGGTCCCTCTTGCAGATATCTTATATCGCAGCTGTGGTTTCCCTCTGAGGCGCTTTCCCTGCACTAATTCTCCATACATCTAGGGATGCCCTAAAGCCAGGAAAAATAGTTGGGGCTACTAAATCATGTTTTGTTTTGTTGAAAGGCGTCTCCCAGGCTGCCTTCCAGTCCTCTGAGGAGCCAGAAGGAAACAGGGTGACCATGTCTCTTGGGTGCAGCTTTAAAACCAACCATCCCTCTTGTTGGGAAGGCCAGTCCCATCAGCTGACCACAAAGCAGAGTTGATCCATCTGTAGGGCAGCTTCACCCTTGTGATCAAGTACTGGGCAATCAAGGTCTCATCTCTTCTGCTCTGGCAAATGAACAAGGCCACCGTGAAAAGGGCAAAAGCCAAAGTCAAAAAAATCTCTCCTGAGCAGCTCCAGGCACACATTTCCCCGGCCTTTCATGACGGCTCTTGTTCTAAGGGCATCCGAATCCTCCCCCCACCCCCACCCCACCTCACCCCACCAGTGCTGAGCTGGATCATTGCTCCCGACTCAGCCAAGACTTGCTACAGGGGACTTCAGGAAGCACTTTTGCACACTCTAGGAGACAAATGAAGACGGAACAGCTACCAAGAGAGTCACCTGAGCTCAATTTTATGGATCTCAGCAATTTTCCTCTCCAATTTTTCAGAGTGTTTGGGGAAAAACTGGAACTTGGAACTGTATCCCTCTGGGTGTTTTCCAGGGTCATAGTCACCAATTTCGGCTGAAAGAAAGAAGAGAAATCACCAATAATTATTGACTTTGGCAAATGTAAGCAAAGGGGATCCTTGGTGGGTCCATTTGGGGCTGTTGTTTTAGAAATATCCTCTTAATAATACATTCACCAGGAAGCTGATGTTTATTTGCAGGATCTCTTTCAGCCCCAGAGGGATTGCCAGAAAAAGGCAAACATGTCCCCTTCTCCTCCTTAAACTATTTTCTCTGGGAAGAAAATGAGTGGAGCGGTGGAAAAAAATGGGTTGAGGTGCAAGTAAAAGCCCACTGAAGAGATCCTTCCCCCCAACCTAGGGGCAAAAGGGCTTAAAGGCAGCCCAGCTTAGCTGTGCTGCTGGAGGGCAGCTTGCAAGGAAGCCATGGTGCCCCCCCCTTCCTCCCCCCCAAAGGTCTTCTTCTGAAGCCCTACCTACCTTGGAGGATGTAGGCGGCCAGCAGAGCAGCGTCCGAGGTCTTGCACAGGAGGCGCCCGTGATACAGATCTCGTTTGATCTGCAAGAAGACGAGATACCTGTCAGGGGAACCAGAGCGAGAAGGATGAGTGCCTTCCTTCCTGCACCTTCTGCAGAAGCCACTCGGGGCCTTCCTAAATCCTTTCTGGGCCTCTTCCGGTGGCCGGTCCTCACCAAGCTTCTCCCTCCCAGATGGATCCGAAGAGGCTTTGTTCCAAAATGCCCGGGCAAGGAAGGCTGTTTCTGACCCCCCTGATCCCTGCCAGGGAGCCAGTCCGGAGGAGAGCTTTTCCACGCCTCTGAACCCAATGCCTCAGCCAGCCCTTTCATCTGTACAGCTAAATGCTGCTCTTCTTAACTATTGCACTATTGCAACCGCTGGGCTGGGACAGTTGGGTTGAAGACAGCAGAAGACCACACAAGTTATGATCCAAGGGGGAGATAATGAGCAGGGAAAAGCCTGGAATGGGCATATCATCTAAGGAGGCCCCCAAGGGATGGACTAGATGACAGCTGCAAAAATGGAAGATCCACTACTTCTGCTTTTGACGCCATCTCAGCAGCCCTTGAGAAGACAGCCCAACCTGAAACCACCACGGTATCTAGTAGAAAGGGGAGATTGACCACCTAACCGGTTCCAAAGTCCTAATGGAAAGTTCCTTTCTCCTCTATAAACAAGCCAACCTCCATAGTTTCCAGCAGGAAACTCAGAAGCAGAACCTGACCCTCCCTGGAAGGTGTTGCTGGCAAAGCACGTCCCTAAAGGCAGCCCTGCTGGAAAGGAACATCCAGTTTCTTTTCCTTTTAGATGTCCTTGCTGTCATCTCTTCCTCCTTTCTCTCATTCCCCATTGAGGTATCAGAGCAACAAGCAAAGCCAAGTGCCTCCACTGCTCTCAGGCTCCCCCCACCCCACCCCATCAGCTTTTCCTATGACCAGCCCAAAGTGGGACAAGGCCTCTCCCTGTCTTACCTGGTGATCTCCTCTTTCAGAGCAGCTGGGTCGGTGGGGTAGAACTTCACTCGGAAGCACATGGTGAATGGGGGCTGAGCTGCAGAAGAGAAAAAGATCTCAGATGGGCTGGGGAGTCTACAGGAACCCATCAGCCCCAGGGGAGCCTTCACCCGCCTGGTGCATCTCCAATCTGACTTCATCCAGAACAAAAAGAGGATTTGTGTCTTGGAAAGGAAAAATTGAAAACTGCTCATCAGAAACTGGAGAATATCATGTGACAAGAAGAAGGAAGTCACGTCTAGGAACAGACACAGATCTTATTTGTAGCTCAGCTACAAATCCAGCTAGGATCCATTTGGAAAAGTCAGCACTTCTCTCAGCTCAGTGGATCCCATCAAGTCAAGAACAATGAGAGGAACCAGATTCCTCTATTTAAGCACAAGACCACTAATGCACCATGTTCACAGAGGTTCAGACGGCACCATGGAAGCTTAGATTCCAGATGTGTGAGTGGGAGATCCCCCATAACCAGCACAGACCCCCACCGGCAGAGTAGAAGCAAGAAGGTGTCACATCTCCCATTTCCCTCTTCACTACAGTGAAGTTTCCAAATCTTGCTACTGGCTGTGACCCTCTGAATGAGATCACCAAAATGGCCTCTAAATCTCCTGAAGAAGTTCTGATACTTGCCAGTATCAGGTCATTGCCTTCCATCAATGGAATGGCCCATTTTGCTGCTAACCTCTTCAACAAGCTTAATAAAAAGCTCACCCTGGCCTGGTCAGTTGTCTCTCCTGTCCGTGAGCATCTCGCACTGAGTAAGAAAGGTTAATTGGTCCATGTCCTCTCCACACTCCTTCAGCCAGCTGCCCTGGGAGCGCACAAGGACTGGCTGTGCTGTTGTTGTCAATGTGGCTACAGCTACTGGACATTTTTCCTGACCTGCTGCAACAACTGCATCATTGTGGCTTATGAAGTATTGACCTGTCCATCCATCTGCTGCTGACGCTTGAATAAGACCTCTGCTAGCTGCTACGGAGTCATCCATGTTCCTTGTGGATCTGTGGCCATGCTTGAGTTCTCCTCTCTTTTGGGGGGAGTAAGAGTCTGGCAAGATTTATGTCAGGTGTAGCCCAAGAACAATGTAACACAATCCAGCCAAGGTTTATTTGCTTCCACTATATAGACAGAATCTTGCCAGACTAAAGCTAGAGTACTCTAGCCCTAATGGATATACTCTGGGGGATTTTTAGGTAATGGCTATCCTAATTCTCTTCCTCTGCCTCCTATCCAGCTCTGGACTGCCTCTTGTCTCCCCCACCCACACCCAGCATGGACTTCCTCCCTCTTTGGAAACTGCTGTAGTCCACTGTAGTCCATCCCACCACCTCTCCCTTCAGAGATCCAGACCCTCACACATTGCCAAGGTAGAGGCATGCCAGCTCATTGAAGAGATCATGAAGATAAATACTTACATCGCATTTGCTTCACAATAGACTTTGTGAATTCCAGCCAGTGCTGAAGCGAAGAAAAGAGAGAGATTCAAAAGCTAGCAAAGAGAGGGTGGCTGCACTGTCTTTTTGCTCCCCCCTCCCCACAAAACCTGACTTCAGTTATAAAATTGCACTAGCTACAAAGTGGTTGGGGATGAGCAGGAGCTGTGCAGCGATCTTGTAGAGATATTTGGGGTAACTTGTTTTCAAAAGACTACAATCCTGATCTTTGCAATGCGAGCAAGATTTGTGGCTGTAAATCACGGGGCACCCAATCAAGCAAGTGATGGGCTTTCAACATTTGGGATGGTTTTCTCCACACCTGCCTACTTTGCCTCAGAAGCTCAGCATAGGACAGTCCCTTTCTTAGGTCCTTGGGATCCCAGGGGGGTGGTTTTTCTGTCCGGCCTGCAGCGTCCCAAGGCTGGGCCCTTTTGCTGGTAATGCAGCCCCAGGGTGTGTCCTGGCCAACTTCCTAACAACTGCACTCCGGGCTCCCTGCTGGGTCCCCTTGGAGCAGGTGCTGTGCCCGAGGAGGGCAAGGCTGGCTCTGGGCTCACAGCCTCCGGGTGAGATTCCCCTCTGTAGGGAACGCAGCAGTCTGGGTGGTACAATTGGCATCCTTGGGATTTCTCCCCCCTTGTCTCGTTGGGCAGGCAAGTGCTGGGCCCAGAGCGGCTGGAGGGCACCACAGCTTCCTTTGGTTGGCTTTTTTTGGCCTTTCATAAACTTTTAAAAGGGGGATTCGTTCAGAGAGTTCTGGAGTGCCAAGAGTTTTTCTTGCAGGTTGTGTGTGTGCTGCTCTTTGATTTTAACGGCTTCACCATGCCAATTCTTCTCTACGGAGGCTACCTTGCACTGTTTCCTATCACAATATTGTGGGCCACCAAGAGCCTTGAATTGCACTGCTACAAATCCCGTCTGCACTGAAAGTGCTGGACTCTGGAGGGTCTTCATGGGCAGCAGAGCTTCCATCTGAGTGAGAAAGGCTGCTCTCTCGGTCCAGGTTAAGCACACACACACACACACACACACACATCCAGAGCCCCTTCTCTGTCCTTGGACTTCGCTTAGCAGGCCACGTCTACCAAGCATCTGCATTGGATGGAGATGTTGCAAACGCTCTTAATTCCCCATTATTCCCAAACTGGCCCTCTGCTCCCTACTCTAAGATTATACACTCTTCTTAATTTAGGAAGGTACAGAAGATCGTAAGCTCATGGATCAGGCAAGGACCATTCCTGTTGACTGATCTTGTGATGGTAACCCTAAGCTGGTCCTTCAGGTCTTCCCACAATGTACCCACAGCTGCTGTAACTGAGCCAGCCCCCCACCCCCAGCTGCTGGGGCCCCCTTCTCTTTTCTTCTATTTTTCCAGCATTAGAGACTTCCCCAGAGAACTAGATCTTTGCGTAATGCATCCAAAATAGAATTAAGAAACTATCATTATTTTCTTATATGATTTTATCTATATCCTAGACTATATTTACATAATCATGTTTATAATTTTACTATTAATAGTCACCAGAATTTCTATATATATATATATATATACATATATGCCTCTTAGGGTAATCATGCTATATAGTTTTTGGGCAATTATGATAGCTCTCAGATGTCGGTTCCATCTTCCTCCTTCTTACAGGTTCGACTGCTGTTATTGGAGGAGCTGCGACTGTCCCCTCAGGCAGCGCAATGTCTCTGCATCCACCACCTAGGATGAAGGCAGGACCCCCAGCCTTGTGGGAACCAAAAGAGGGATGGACTGGGCAGGGCAGGGCAGGGAGTTTGCCTCTTGGTCACCTGCTCTCCGGAGCACCCAGGGACAGCTTCCCAAGGTCTTTGCTTATTCCGATCCAGGAGTTGAGAGACAAATCCAGGAAGGCGCAATGAGAGATTCCGAGGGGCACCTGATCAAAGCAGCTCCTGCCAGGACAAGGCAGGCTCAGGCTCTGCCTGGCTCCCTTCTTTTGACTCCCAGCGCTTTAGCAGAGAGAGAGAGAGAGAGAAAAGAGGGGGGGGGTGCCCTGAGTCTGTTGCTCTGGTTCTCAGAAGAATGGGGGTGGGAGATTCAATTTTTCCAGTCTGAACGGTGCTCCAGAAAGCATTGAGAAGAGATAGAATTTCATTTAATTTGCAATTAAATCAGATTAATTTCAAATATACTCTATGCACGCATAACCATACAATATCTACTAACTTGGGCCTTGGTGGTGCAATGGTTAGAATGCAGTACTGCAGGCTACTTCTGCTGACTGCTGGCTGACTGCAATTTGGCAGTTCAAATCTCACCTAGCTCAAGGTTGACTCAGCCTTCCAACCTTCCGAGGTGGGTAAAATGAGGACCCAGATTGTTGGGGGCAAGAGGCTGACTCTGTAAACTGCTTAGAGAGGGCTGTAAAGTACTGTTAAAGCGGTATATAGGTGCTATTGCTACTGGAGTCTCTGGGTATCTCATTCAAGGCATACAGGGCCACATGGGGCCTGGACTGAATATCTCTGATCTCAAACAGCGGTCAGGTATAAACCCAAAATGGGAGATAACAAGCAAGCAAAGATGCTGCAAGCAAATTTGCTGTGTAGTGAAACCAATGGGAGGCTTTTTGACGGGGGGGGGAGTAATGCCAGTATTTTAAGTGGGGGGGGCAACTCTTCTCCAGTCTTCTCCCCCTCTGGAAGAACGCAGGAACAGCAGCTGAAGCCCCACCAAGCAGGAGACCCTCCACCTGCAGCATCTTTGCTGGCTTGGAGGCCGGGCACAGGGAAGGGGCTCCCCTGACCAAAAGCACAAGCCGGGACTCACCCTCTGCTTGTCGGGGTCAACAAAGCGGATCCCAAAGTAATCCTTCTCCAGGAGGTTTAAGTGATGGCACAGCAGGTCAAAGAGGAACTGGCCTTTGGCATCTCTCTGCAAAACAAGGGCTGCAATCAGTCAGGGCAGCAGCTGGAAGCAGGCAGGCTGGCTGGGAGCCTGGAGCAGGAGGGATGTCTGAAGGAGGGATCTCCTTCTAGGGATGGGCCCAGACAACGCAGCAGCCACAGCAGCAGACACAACTTTCCCAAAGGTAACACGCGTCCCCCACACAACACGGCAAGGCATCAGGAGATGAGTCCAGAGAGCCAGCAAGAGAGCCCCTTCCGAGACAGATGCAGTCTCTCTCCTCCCATTCCAGATGGTGTTGATCTTCTTCTGTGCAAAGTAGATTTTCCACCAATCACGGCCCAAAGAATGTTGGCCAGAAGCACCTCATGAATCATGAGAACCTCTGCAGAACTCGTCACCAAAGGACGAGAAAGGCAACCACTGGATAGAACCTAAGGGGGAGGTGATGTGGCCTCCCCCATTCCTCCCCCCTCTTGAATCCCTCAAACCACCTTTGGGACAACCATGACCGGATGACTGAGAATCTCCACAGACATGTCTGAAGTGAAAATTACTGAACCAGCCTTCTGGATTCTTACCCGCCATTCTCTTTGGGAAGAATCTGAGCCTTCCTGAGAAACTGGATGAGGCTCAAAGCTGTCCCTGCTTTGTCCCCAGAGCAGAAATGTCCCCCAGGGCAGGTAGCTGTCCTCTCCCTGCACCTGCCCTCCTGCTTCCCCTCCTGGCAAGTAGGCCGCTCGCCTGGCCCAGCTCAGCCCCAGAGCCTCCCTCCTCCACGGTCCTTGCCTCCACGGTCCTGAACTCTGAGGAGCTGAGATGGAGGGGCACTTGGGGGGCCACTCAAATCACCCAAAACTACTGCTAGGAGCAACCAGCAACAACAAGCTTTTCAGTTACATTCACATTCAAGATAATGTTTGCGGCTGAGGATCTGCTAACGTCTCCCCACATCGACGAACCGTGATAAAAGAGCAACTGAATCCTTCAGACAGCCTAACTGCAAACTCTTGCTTAACAACTGCTCTAAAAACAATTGAAAAATCAGATCTGGTCACATGGGTGCCTCAACTTGTGACTGTCCTGACGTACAACTAAAATTCCAGTCCCGTGAGGTCATATATCACACTACCTGTACCTTTTCAGCATTTTCAGTATCTTTTCAATGCAACTATCCTTCAAAAAGACCTCGACTATGTGTCAGATTGGTCTAACAAGTGGCAACTTCAAATCTCAACAAACAAATGCTCTGTCTTGCACATTGACAAAAAAAAAATCAAAACATAAAATACAAATTAGATGGACATGACCTTGTAGACAACCCTCACTCTGTCAAGGACTTTGGAGTACTCATTTCTAAAGGTCTAAAGTGCCAGAGCCCACTGTAACAACATTGCCAAAAAGGCATTAAAGGTTGTTAACCTAATCTTGTGTAGCTTCTTCTCTGGTAATGTTGTACTACTAATTAGAGCATACAAAACATTTGCTAGACCAATACATCTTGAATACAGCTCATCTGTCTGGAACCCGCACTGCATATCAGACATTAATACAATTGAGAGAGTCCAGAGATATTTTACAAGAAGAGTCCTCCATTCCTCTACCTGCAATACAATACCTTATGCCACCAGACTCCAAATTTTGGGCTTAGACAACTTAGAATTACGCCGACTTCAGTCTGACCTAAGCATAGTACATAAAAGTATCTACCACAATGTCCTATCTGTCAATGACTACTTCAGCTTCAACCACAACAATACACGAGCAAATAATAGATACAAACTCAAGGTAAACCGCTCCAAACTCAATTGCAGAAAATGACTTCAGTAACAGAGTGGTCAATGTCTGGAATGCACTACCTGACTCTGTGGTTTCTTCCCAAAAACCCTCAAAACTTTAACCTTAGACTGTCTACTGTTGACCTCACCCCATTCCTAAGAGGTCTGTAAGGGGCGTGCATAAGAGGACCAGCGTGCCTATCATCCCTTTCCTAATATTCTTTTTTACTTACTCTTTTCATGTATTCAAATTATGTTTATACTTTTACCTGTTATCTTATATATGCTTGACAAACAAACAAACAAACTAACAAACTCCTTGAAAGTCCCTGCCAGGCTCCAAAAGCCGAAGATACACTGAGTTCCTTTCTGTCCCCGTACCCCACACGCACCCCCACAGACAGCCCAGAGTTAATAAGCCACACGACAAAACTCTTTGAAGATAAAGCTGGCAGCAACCCAGTGGCTAGCTGCCAATTCAGACTTTACTCACACAAAACAAAGATTAGACTGCCAGCATTCCGATAAAACAGGCAGAGTGTCAACAATACAAGGATTAATCCAAATGCAGTCCGATAAAGCAGGCAAAGTCCAGTAACACAGAGATCATGGAGTATTTCCAGTTTTTGCTCGTCACAAACTGAACCGGCCACCACACCCACATTTATACCCTGTGGGGTGTGGTCCAGTGACTCAGCTAATCTCTGGCACGCCTTCCCTTCTGCTGTGCACGCTTCTCCCTGCGCCTCTGTCGCGGGTCCAGCCAGCACTTATCTTCTTCATCGCTGTCCACCTGTGGCTGCGGGGACGTGCTTGGCTCTGAGCCTGTCGTTTGGCCTTCGGTGTCCTCCGGAGGCATTGCCAGAGAGGAGGGTCCTGGAGAGGGAGGCCTTGCCAACTCCTCTCCCTCACTCTCAGAGTCTGCATCTGTCAATAGCCCAGGCTCAGGCAACGGAGCCACAACAGTTCCTTTCATGTTCCTCATCTACAGACAGAAATTTTGCCAAACTGAAGCAGACTCCTTGCCCCATTAAACACAATATCTGGGAACTATTAGGGAGAAGCTTTCTTCATCCTTTTTCTCCCGCACAAACTATCTATGCAGCCCCTCCCTCCCTCCTGGGAATCCAGACTACTTTCCACCACAGTCTCTCTTCCTGCCTTGGGACTGAAAGCTCTAAACTTCCTCTCTGGGAATCAGCCCACCCTGATGGTCAGTTGCAGAAAGATTAATGAGCCAACAAATGCTGCTAGGCCCCTATGGCATTAAGGTTCCCTTGTCACCATCCTCCAGCCTCTCTGGTTGATGGCTCTCAACTGCCACCCCGGCTTCTGGCTGCCCAGCCAGAAAACTCAGCACAGAAGGTGCAGCTCAGCCTTTGCAGAGTCCTACCCCACATCAGCCTGAGTCTCGCTCACTGGGCCTCACCCTCCCTAAGAGCCTCGCTGCATTGTCAGCGGAAAAAGAACCAGGCATTTCTCAAGGGCAGCAACATCCTTGTCTCCACTTTTCCAGGACTCCTTTGTGAGCAGAAAATCTCCGGACCGCCCAATGGCTTAAACTGTGTCTCCCTCCTCTTCCTCCTTCCGGAGCCAGGATCCATGGAAACCGCTGGACTTCAGGCAGCAGGGCAGAAACAGGGGGCTCGGGGGTTTTTCCCTTTGGTTTAAATAAATGCTCTGGGTGGGGGGAACCTGAGGATGCCGAACTGCTCCTCAGACCTGCTGAGAGGGTCATTTCAGCTCAGAGCTGGGACCTCCATGGGAATCATACACAAACCAGCAGTGGGAAAGGAAGCTGAGCCCTGGGAAGCCCTGCCCAAGATTGAAACAACTGGGAAGATCAAAACATTAATGAACTTCAGTGGAGACAAATGCAAATAAATGCTGCTCTAGGATCGTAATAAAGCTTTGATTTGATTTCATTTCATTTGATTTCATTTCATTTGATCTGAAATGCCATGGCTTTGGGGCATCTAGAATTAGAGATTGTCAACAAAAGATCTGACTCAACGCAGGTCCAGAAATCTAGCAGATGCAACCGAATTTGAAGGTAGCCGCAGCAGCAGAAGGTGAATGCCAAGCAAGTCCCATCACGGCTGGCGGCTGCCCCGCCCCAGCTCCACCACCACCACCCTGATCAAGAAAGGAGGCGGTATTCTGGGAGGGAGCCAAGGGAGGCCAGAGCCACAGAGAAGGCAGAAGAGGTGGGGGGAGAAGAGAGCGGTTAGGGGGCAACCATCCTCAAAGGAAATGGACAATGGAGCAAATGCGTTTTCTGATGCTCCAGAAAGAGGATTCAAAGGAAAGGATCCAGAAGGATCCAAAAGGCAAACTAAAGATTAGGACAGAATTGCTTTCTTTAGTGTTAACTAAAAACCGGGAGACCCTAAGTTCTAGTCCTGCCTCGGCACAAGACCAACTGGGAGTCCCTCAGCTGGGGAGGGTCTCCCAGGCCTAGGATGCAGGTAAAACTTGCCAAGAAAACTGCAGGGAGAAGGCCAGGCAGTTGCCAAGAGTAGAGACTGACTGGAGGACAAACAACAACAACAAAAACAGACAATACCTTCTGAACAGACTACTTTGAAAAGGGAAAGACGTTTTTAATTTAAATAACTATTTTAAAGGAAGCCTTATCAGGGACATTATATCAGTGCATCAGTAGGATGTTATTGGCTGCCTGGATGGCCTTTTCTGCTGGCGCCTTTGTCCCTCCCACCCCCAGCAGAGTCTCTATACCTGAGGACCCTGATACTGATGGATCACCGTGGTTGTCCTAGAGCTGGTCAGTCCTCAGGGTCACCTCGCCTGAGGCTGCTCACAGGGGGCAGGAGGGAGGGGGCTGGACAAGTCCTCTTTTACAAGTTGTTGAAAAAAGCCCTTGTGTCTGCGGAAGACCTCCATCTTTATACATGTGGGATGGTGGTCGGCTTCCGCTTTCATTTTCCTTTCATGTGCAATTTTGTATTTTATAGTTTCATAATGGTTTGGTGTAGGAAGTCATGTAAAAATATATGAAAGAATAATAATCTAATTTTTGTACTTTGGCGTATCTCCCCCGTCAATCCCAGTTCTACAGTGGGGTAACAGTGGCAGAAGCAGCAGCAACAGAAATCAAATACGTATGAGCAAAATTTGATCCAAGGGAGAACACAATGAAAGTAGTTTTGTGCTGCATTTTCTGCTGAGCTCACAGCTGCAGCGTAGAAGAGTCTGCGTCTGCATCCAAAGAATCAGAATCACGGGGAT